CCCCTGGTTTTTTCCCCTTATTCTCTCGCTTTTTTTTATCAATTTTTGTCTAACTCTTACAAATCTCTAATTTATTTCCCTTATAAAATAGAAAAGTCACCCAAATATGGGCCCAAAATAAAATTAATTTTGAGGTACGGTTTGAAGGCGCACACATTAATTTGAAAAACTGTAGTTATTTTCACTGCGATTATAAATAAATTTTCGGACGCAATGAGCATTGAAAAAGACAATAGTTGTATTTAAAAAAGTAATTTTCGTTGGGTAGACTTACCAATAAGGCAGAAAATAATAGAAAAAGTCATCAATGTATTCACTTTTTATTTGAAAAAATCATAAACACTATCATTATCCGAAAAGTCCGATCGAAAACGTTTGGCAATCAGATCCTCTTTTTTCTTCTTGACTTCCAACACCCTTTTAGTCACAGGCTTTTTCTTCTCCGTTTTCGTACAGCTACTCTCAAATGGTCCAAAATGTGTCACTTTTTGCGGTAGTCTTTCCATGCCTAAACCAGCGCGGTTACGCTTCAAAATCGTCTTGATCGGAAACCGATATCCATCAGAATGTCTTCCCAATCCTTGCTCTTCGGTCCATCCAGACGCGCACATAAGACGATAGCCGATATTGGAAGGGCCAATTTGAATTCCGGTTTGGGAAACTGCACCGGTGGAGATTTTGTCACTGAAAAATTGCTTATAGTTTTAGAAAAATTAGAATTAGACCTACTTCAACTGATGAGTGATTGAGGAAACGTGGTTAGTGATTTCTTTCTCCAGTATAAATACATCGCAGAGTTCACAGAATGTAAACTTGTCCGGTTCGGAAGAATTGGATGATGGGTTACTGAAACATAAATTGACCTAAAACTAATTCATTCACTCAAATATAAAATTACCTATTGCAAAAATAGGCAAATAACTTTCTGACAAAATCATTGGTGGTGTTCCTATGAGCAATCCCCATCCCATTATTATCACGGACACCCGGATCTGCTCCATTCTCTAATAAATATTTGCGAATTTCAAAATGACCCTCGGCCGCAGCACACATTGTAGCCGTCCAGCTATAAAAATCAGTGACATCTATCGGAATTTCTGGAAACAACTATTTAACTGACAATAAAGTGAACCCAGATAACAACTCACTTTTTCTCAAATACATTTTCAATTCTTCTAAATTCCCTTCTTTTGCAGCTTTGAGAAAACCATTCACATGTCGTATATTTAAATTTTTCGAAACAACTCTTGGCTCTTTTTTAACTACATCATCCAGAATTATTATGTCATCATCGTGCTCTAGCTTTTCCTTCTTGACTTTGGGCTTGGCTTTATCTGATTTTTCCAGTAAGGCTGAATAAATTTCGCTGAAACCATCCGATTCAGTATTGGATGGGTCCTTGGAAGTGGATGCTGAAAAACAACACATGTATAAAATACAGTATAATTTATATTTTTCGAAAATGTACCTTCTGGGATATCATCTGGATCACTAACTTTAATATTTTTCTCGTTCCCAGTTGCTTTAACAAACTTCACACGTTGTTCCGGATCCAGATTACTTAGATTTTGAGGTGGCAAATTGTATGACATATGGCTGAATTCAATGTTTCAAAAGTGGTGTGCAGTGCATTTTTCATTGCTTAACTTTGTACGAAAATGTATTTATGAAGATTCACATAAAAATAGTGTAAAAATTCTTTTGGGGTTATTCAGGGAGTCGGCAAAAAAGAAAAATAACTCCGCGAAAACTCGGAAAGTGTTCAAATCTGGCTGAAGCTTTAGGGAAAACTGGAGAAAACTATAGGAAACATTTTGACCCCAAACTTTGGCAAAATGTTTCCTATAGTTTTCTCCAGTTTTCCCTAAAGTTTCAGCCAGATTTGAACACTTTCCGAGTTTTCGCGGAGTTATTTTTCTTTTTTGCCGACTCCCTGAATAACCCCATTTGGAAAATCCTAAAAAGCAAAAAAAAAAACTGCCTTGTGACCGAGTGTGAAGTTTCTAGTCCTTTTGCTGAGAAGAAGCGAGCGAATTCAAGCTGTTTTTATATTTTCATCGTTTTTTCTTCAGATGATTTCCAGTTTTATAGAGATATATTAGCGAAAACCTTGGAAAACCTGAAAAAAATGAGAGTAAACAAATAATTTGAATTCTCCCGCTTCTTCGCAACAAAAGGACTAGAAATTTCATACTCGGCCACTAGGTCACCAGATCGCACTTCTTTTTTTTATGCGGATTTTTCGAATTTTTTTTTACTATTTTCATATGAACCTACATACATTTTTGTACAAAACTGAGCAACAGTAAAAATTCGGTTGAAAAACATCGCATGGCTGAGAGATCACCATTTGAATCAAGAAAGAATTTTAAAAAACTATTCTTTATTAAAAAGTATGATAAAACAGTTTTTTAAAGACAAAACATATCACACAAATTCAATAGCCCGTAATTTCTGAGACAAAAAAATTTAAAATTTCAAGTGAGAAGACAAAAATATGATATTTATGACGTCTCCTCGTCTTTTAAATCCATGTCGTTAATTGGAGGACACAGGTAGAGATTGGAATGGGCCTGAAACAATTATAAGTTAAAGGAAGAAGCTTCACAGTCTCTTTACAATTTCCTCTTCTTTTTTCTTTTTCTCATCGGTCTCTTCATCCATTTCATCTTTAACTTCTTTCTCATCTTTTTCTTTCTCTCGATCCCTTCTCAGCCCTTCTCCAGCCTTCAATTCGTCGGCGACTGCTGTCAGATAGGCACGGTGCTCGAACGACGGAACAAGTATATGACACCATTCTGGAAGATATTCGAGCGTGGTTTTCTCTTGCATATACTTCATTTCATCAGGCGTATCATCTCCCAAATCCATCGTACATGAATCCAGCTCGATTAGATCATCGAGCATCTCGTCAACAGGCCAATGATCTGGAAAAATATCATTTCCATCGAAAATATCGTATTTGTTTACATCTCAATGATTCAGCTCCATCTCCACACGCGCTCATCCTCAAAGAGCTTTTTGATATCCGATCTCTGGATTCCAAATCGATAAGTGTGTTTTTTGAAATATAAACTCGTTGTCCGAACTGATTAAGCAATGCTCCATCCGAGCACATACACACTACTTCTGTACCGGATTGAAGTTCCTGAAGCTTCTGAGAAGTTATTCAAAAGAGATCGTCGCAATTAACATACGTGCTGATTTATCAATCCTTTATTGAACAACGACTTCTCTATATTTTTGGCTTCCTCAATGTCATTGGTATTGAGTAGATCTCGAAATGCAATAAACGCTTCTTGCATTCGCTTCTCTTCACTTTCTCTGTTGAACTGGAAAAATATTTTGTATGAATTATATCGAGTATTTCACTCTCACCGTTTCTCTCACTTTCTCATGAATAATAGTTTCGAAATTTCTGAATAAACACATCGATGGATAGCTGCGAACCATGTAATTGACCAGAGAAGTAATACCGTTCCGTTTCTTCTGTGCCATCGCTTCCCGAACTTTCTCATATGTGAAGTCGATGTCTTCGCAAATCTGGAATATCCGTTGTAGAGAAATTATAAGCAATTAAATGTCAACCTCTGTTTTTATATAAGTATGTGGGTCTGGAAGTGGTGGAAGCCATTCGTAAACATAATTCGGATGAGGTCGGGGTGTTCCGATCCTGAGTGCTTGATTTTTCGCTTCTGGTGGAATGATTTCGGCTGGAAATATTTAGTTGTGTTAGAGAAATCCATTAAAAAGAAAACTCACGAGCATGAACGGTGAGCGCAGAGATTACTTGATCCTGATGAAAGTCGGATAATTCTCGAACATGAATTCCCATATTCACAAGCCCAAACCAAACATCTCCTGGACTGACTAACGTTCTTCCAGCCATTTCGCACGCCAATCTCGACTGTCCGCCAATTCGTTTAATGTCTGAAAATTTAGTTATTTGTTTTAGGCAGTAATTAAATCATGCTTGGAAAATCAGGCCCCGGGATTTTCACATTCGAAAAAAACACTTTTTTTTACAACGACACCCCTCTCTTTCTCTGTAAACGAATCTTTCAAATTTTCTACTCACAAGAATGAAAAATCAGCATCAATGTCTCCAGAGCACCCTCTTCGATATCATCGAAGCCACTTTTATAGCACATCGCAGTCACCACTTGTTCCAAAACATTGTGATACGCTTCATTGACTACCGAAGGCAGGAAATTGGCTCCTACTTGCTTTTGAGCTCTCGATTCTGTTTGTTTTTGAGGAACCGCGGTCAAATTACTGGAAAGTTTAGAATATGCTTGGTTAGGAAATTTTAGAAAAAAACCTGGCTGTCTGTTGATAATTTTGTGGACGAGCGGCGTATTGATGTAATGGATATCCTTGAGGATAATAATTTCGGCCAGGCCTTCGATTAAATGGGCCATGCATTCTGAAAAAAATGTATTTTTCTGTATATAATTTGAAAAATTTTAATACAAATTATTCCAAGTCGAAAACTACTTTCAAAAAAGTTTAAAATTAAGAATATCTATTCTTACTCTTTGGAATTCGTTGATTTTCACATCTCCAATAACGAATATTGCTAAAAATCGATGTCGTTTTACGCTAAACATCGCACCCTAGTGGGATCTCGGAGTGTCGTTGCCAAACTAAACCGCTACCTATTCCTGCGTCTCTCCTTCTCACACAGTGTCTCGCTCAAGGTTGGAGATTGTGCTAAAATTAATTAGCTTTTCAGAAAAAAACAAGACCCCACGAAATCAAAAATCAGAAGAAATCATGATTAACTCTATTTTCAGAATCAATTAATATTTCCAAGAAAAAAAAAACCAGACGCTGCCCTCCATCCACCTGCACAATGTGTGGTGCACTTCCGGTTGATCTAATGTTTAACATTACTTTCAGTTTCTTTCAAGCTGTTGTAAAGATACCTATATTATTTTAATAAACCTTTCTGATTCATTAAAAATACCTCGTTTTCAAGTGTTGATATACAGTGATTTGGAGAGGAATATAAATCGAACGTACAGTAACCCAAACTAATAAGTTGAACTGTTGTTTAGTGAGATTAAAGCCGCTTAAAGGTTGATTCAGGAAAGCTATCAGGTTTTGCTTGATAAATTGGCTCTCTCTCTGAGTTTAGTTGTTTTCGAATAAGAAAATCTATGTATAAATTCCCATGAAAATAAAGAAAAAACATTCAAAAAAATTTATTAATTGAGAAAAACTCATAGAAATGCAAAGTGTGTTCTGGTGTCCGGATTGCCGAGTGTGAGGATTCTAGTTCCTTTGGGCGAAAAAACGCGAAAATTCGTTTTATTTTTCTTGATTGTCATGACAGTGTTTCTTTCACATTTTTAAAGGTTTTCCGGGATAATTGGGGGAAAAATTAACAAAAATCTTGAAAAATCTGAAAAAATCGCTGAAAAAAGGAACTAGAAAACACACAGTTCATTTTTATGGGAATCTACCAGAGATGTCCGGAATGACTTTTTTGAGAAACGGAAACCGGAACAAAATAGTTTTTTGGAATCCAGAATCCGGACAAATTAAAATTGCACGGAATCCGTAATCCGAAATAAAACTGATTTTCCGGAATCCTGTATACGGAATCCGGAACGAAAAACAACCTGGAATTCGGAATACGGAATACAGAATCCGGAACATTGAGGGTTCCAATGGGCCGAAAAATTCAAAAAAAAAATACGTATCGTATAATACGATTCGTATTTTGCATTTTCAGTCGCAGAATTTCAGAACTAGCAGTAATTAATACCGTTTTAACACATTTGCTGAAAATCCTGAAAAAATTTCTCGCAATCCAGAGAATTGAAAATTTCTCGGAATACGGAATCCGGATTCCAAACATCTCTGGAATCTACATACCGTAAAACCTGTAATAGAAGCCCCCCCCCCCCCCACTTTCAATTTAAGAAAATGTATCTAGATTCCTGTGAAAGATATGAAAAATGTGTCAATTAATAAAATATTGGTGATATTATGATAAACAATTTATCATTTGACATCTTTTTGATATCTTCCACAGGAAGCTAGAGTATGCATTCTACCGTCACGGTGTACAACGCTTAATGTCAGTCTGCGTACAGCTGTCGTCCTCGCCTTTATGTATGCAATCGGGCGTGCGCTTTCTCTTTGCCCGCGTGGCTCAGTCGGTAGCGGCGCCGCACCCTCAATCATCGCCCTCACAAGTTCAACTCCTCGAGAGGCATCTTTGAACGGAATTTCGAGAACATTATTTTTTTCATGTCCCCCCACCTTTAATTAAGTTGTCCAAGGCTTGATATCAGAGATCAGTTAAGTTTATGATCTGTGTGGTTTCACTTTATGTTTCCGGTTGAGAAGTCGCAAGTTGAAACTTATCCCTCCAAATGAATTCTTGCATATTTTGAATATTTAAACTATATATTCCCAAAGTCCCTTTCAAACGTCATTAGTGTCAAACATCTCTCAAACTCATACTCACTAGATCATATCAACACCCCAATTACCGCCTTATCCCCTCGATAGAGCAAAAAAGAGACTGAGAGACCCTGAGCAAATTCGCCCCTGACAACACTCTCACATTTCATACACACAGCACAAAACTAACTAGTCTGTGTTGTCACAAAGTCACTGGCATACATCTAATCAGGGGAAAAGAGAAACGAGTTCTTCTTTTTTTAAATATATTTTTTCTTCTTCTACCTTTTTTTCCGAACGAATTTAAGATATGAATGAACTCAATATTTTCTCATGTCTGATGTTCTAAAAACTTCAAGAGCTCCCCTGCTCACATGACAACTAACCCCCAACCTCTCCCTTGCAGAATTCAGCAATAAATACACCTGTTTCACTATATAAAACCCAGTTTTAATAATTAACTCCTGCTCTATAGAAAAAATGACAAATTTGGAAAGTCCTGATAACATGCAGTGGAATGATTTTTTGACAAGGTCCTATAAGTGCGAGATTCCTAAAAGTGCGAGCCATATTTCCCACAGAAGATCACAGCTATGTTCAAAAGTTTGCTACCCCAATCTCGCAGAAACTTGCTCAGGAAGTTTTCGGAGCGCTGAAGAACCAAACTAGAAAATAATGATCAAAGGACGGACCATGTGGGCCTCCATTTGTTTCTATCAGATTTTATGATTTCATGACCCCAACTTTTGCCCAACCTATATCCTATCCCAGGGGTCACATAGCATACCACAAACAGAATACTATAATGGTGGCCATATTGAAGGTCATAAAACCCCTCTTCTTGGAAATGAAACAGAAGACTCCCTGATTATGAACTTAATAAACCCGATTCGTCATATTCGAGAAAAATACAGTAAGCATGAATCCCCAATCCCTTTGTACACATATCTTTATTCAAAATTATTACTTTTCTATGTTTTATCTTATGACAAAAAAATGAAAGAAAGGAGAGAAAACTAATTTCCTGATACTACGAAATTCCTTCTCTCAACATTGATTAATCGAATAACACAATTCGTAAAATAATACATAATAACCTAATTTCCTGTGGGGCACTATCGCTCGATTGTTTTTCAGTTGTCTCCGATGCTCATTTCTTTTCATTCATTCGGTGTAAAGTGTTTTATTAGTAGTCTTGTAGTCAATATCAGCTGCTTTTTCGCTCGATAAGCCTCATTTTCCATCTGAAGCTTTCTTCCATTATTAAAATTCTGAAAATACCCTTTTTTTCAGAATCACAAAATGTCACTTGAGCTACCGTTCTCGCTCAGTTGTTTATCTTTGGCTATTGTTGGAATTTACCTGAACGCGTGTTTCCTGCGATCTTCTCATCGATCTACTGTGTTTCCGAGGTTTTGTTGCAAGCAGATAAGATTCTTATCAGCCATGCAAATTGTTCTTGCTGCATCAAATATCGTGGCTATAGGTACGGTAGGACATTCAGCAGTATTCACAATTAAATTATCATTAGAAACGGACAATTTTAAGAATGTGAAAAAAAATCAAAAAATTTCGTCCTGGTGTTGTGAAATATTCAAATAGCGCTCAGAAATAATCTCAACACCCCAGATATTAGATCTCAATTCAACCCTCTGAACTACAGTAACCCTCATAACATGCTGAGAAGTTCAAATTTCAGGATCCATGTTGTTTTTCCGAACTAATCGAACAAAGAAGTCCGAGTCGTTCTTTTCAACGACTTTATCCGCTACTCGAGCCGTGCCTCAGTTGACAGTTTTATGGACTACTCTGGAACGGGTTATGTTCAAAATGGGGCCGTGTCTTCGAGATAATCCAAAGTTCAGACATACCGCTTTTTATAGGGTAAGGCCTTGTGAAATTTCAAACTAATTTTGCGCCATAACTACCAAAATTGATATTTCAGATCTTCCAAATATTTTTTTCTACGATTGCGGAGATAGTTATTCGGACTGCGTTCATGAATACGGAAGAGCAGATCGAGATCTCCGCAAATAATAGCCTCATTGAAATGTCGAATAGTGAGGAGTTGTTCATCAAAAGTACACTCATCTCAAATGTTTATTTTGATTATTATCATGGGATAATATTCATTCCATGTTTGGCAGTTAGTTGCTGATATTTTCAATCAGTTATTTCACTTTTCGTAATTTCAGATAGCCGTAATGATGTTCAATTCCGCTAGAGCCTCCCATGCACGTGCTGGTCTACTGGGAGGAATGAGAAATGATTCAAAGGTAGAAAAATACTTTCTCTTAAATTTTTTCATATGACAATTTTCAGATTCAAAATCTATCGGGACAGATGAAATTCTTCAAGAGGTCATACATCCCTCTGTATTTCACATGTCTATCTGATTTTCTCTTCCAAGTTATCATCAAAAGAGGACTGGATCTTGGTAAGGTGGAATGAAATTCTCGGTGAATAATTTATATTTTCAGAAGATTCCATCATTGACTTTCTTTACATCAATGCTCGTTGCTATCTTCCAATTGCATATCCACTAGCACTAATTGCTCTAAACAAAAACCTCAGAGCCGACTATTTCGCAAACATTATCCTCTGTAGAAAAGCTAGAAATCTTCACAAAGAATCCAAAGTGAAAGTTATAGCTACAAAAGAGTCTCAAGAATCAATCATAGCAAATCTAAAGATGATTGGGATTCTTAGTGACGTGGATACCTCTCAGGGAGGTCCTTCTGCAGCTGGTCTTGCCATGATGGGAATGGGACCAGGAATCGGAAGACCTACTAGCTCAATAGGTGGCATCCAAAGAGTGTCTATTTCAAAAGACCCAACGTCTATAACATCTGTGACAAGTATGGCGAATACTAGTGTGACATCAATGGGAGGCCCATCTAATATGATGATGTTCCATACGAGACCCAAGAGTTCAGTACCATCCATGGGATCAGTTGGATAATGTCTTCTTGCCATTGTGAAAGTTTAATTTTTGTATTCATTTGTATCTCATTGTCAGTTATACGAGTATTTTTGGCTTCGTAATGAAACGTTCCTTATATGTATTGTCTAAAAATTATTTTTCAGTTTAATGAAAAGTTAATCAGATGTTAAATTATTTTTAGAGATCGATGTTAACAAACTTGAAAATTTCTTGGTCAAACTAATGCAAACTGATATCCGTGTCAAACGACAATCGTATAAATTTAAAATCATACAGTTTCTAACCGATTTCAGTAAAAACAAGAATTTCTAGTCCTCATTTCCAGGAAGTCCTGTCTGCCATTTCCAATGTCGTTTTTTTGTCTGTGTATTCCACATCACCACCGACTTGTCATAAAATAGAAATTTTTGATCCTCACACCTTTTTTCCTTGTGTACGAAAACAGAAGACGAATATTAATCCTCTTAATATGAATTACATTGCATGTCACCACCGCATTTTTCGTCATTCGTGCCCTCCTTTTCTTCTTTATTTTTTCTGGCTCAATTGATATCGAATGACTTGATAGTTTTTCTGGGTTTGTGATGATACAAAAAGTCGGTATGTTTTTCAAAAACGTTTTTTTGACTGTATTTTTCATGGCTTCAGAAGTATTTTACTCTCGAAGTTTTCTAAAAAAAATATTTATCTTCCTGACTCTTTCTGTAATACCCGGCTCATTTAGTATCCAACAAATTTTAAGAAGCTTTTTTTCTTTGATAGCTGAAATCAAAACTAATCGTCTTGTTTTTTTTTCTTTACTCCCAGCCTCTCAGCTTTTGTTGCCCGTTTTAATTTCTGAAAAATATCACAATGAGGAGAAAGTTAAAAAAATTTCTTCCAGTTTTTTGATAGACCTACATATATACAAAACTTCAACTTCAGAGTGTTTGGATATGAAGGAAGGGAGACAATTAATTTCTGAACCACCAAATTTTGAACCACTTGACTGTTCACAAGTGTGCTCTTTTGTTTCTATTTACACAAGACTATTTTCAAAGTGCTGTCTTTTTTCTCTGTCTTTGAGAGATTTGAAACTTAATCCCCTGTGCTCTATCTTTTTGGATCACACTTTATACCAAGTCTACGTCATTTTTCGACTCTTCTGTGAAAATTCATTCTTATAGGAGAAGTCCTTAAAGTTGAAAAATTGTCCGCATTTTGGAGTTGCGGTTGAAACTTTTTTCTCCATACTTGTTCGATATCCAAAAATCAAAAAACCTGAAACATCATCATTTGCTCTGTTGTATATCAAAATTTTATATCGAAGTCTGTCTACTCACTTTCGCAAATTTTTCACTTGAATGATCTTTCGCACAAAACATACAAACCTCCGGTTTTCGTTTTGCCAAATTGATATGTTTTTTTACTTTTCTGTTCTTTAAGCTCAAAAACATATGTTTTTTGTCATTTCCCGAGACATCTCAATAGCAATCTCTTACTTATATTGCAAGTCTTAAAATATTTACGATGATGATGTTAATCTGGAATTCCATCATTAACTTCCTTTATGATTCATTTATTTTGCGTCGTCGCTTTTTTAGAAACGAATTTGTATCTTTTTCAAAACAAAAACTCTTCCTGATCGTGTTATGCGATTTTGAAAATAAGAACCCCTTTTTTTCAGCTTGTCTACTTCTAAGCCTATAGTAAAATATGGAGTTTTAACACATCATTTTTCACTCAGTAAACATATTATTTCCACCAAAGAAATTCGAAAAAAAATAACTTCTCAAAAAGGGACCCATGGAATTTTATATTTTCCAAGTTAAACAAAACGCCTGAAGAAGCGGGAGAGCGTGCTTCGAATGAAAAATGGATGCTCCTCTCTCCGCGTCTCTCACTGTGTACAACTCTATAATTCCACTTCTCCGTCTCTTCTAGGCTCCACCCACATTCACCTCTTTTTTGTGGAGCACTTGACGCCAGACTCACTTTTGCTTCATCGGGAGAAGAAGACGTTAAGAAGTCGTCTTCTGGATAAGCAAGTGGATTTCAACCTTGAGTATGGCTTTGGGGCATCCATAATCTTATGCGATTACTGAACTAAACATTAGTACTGATAGTTCCCCTAAAAACGCATTGTGCATTGAAACCTGTTTGCAGAAACTTTTTTTCAAGTTTCGTTCCCCCCCTCCCCCTTTTACAATGTTGTTATTTTTGCCTTCGAAACAATAAACAAACTTTTGTTCCATCGTCCAAGAACAAACACCCAAAGATTTCTTTGCAGAAAAAAGACAAGCCAAAGAAAAGGAAACTAGAAGAAATGTCGACGACTTCCGGTGCCCCCACAACAATTCCCCAGGAGAATGGAGGAGCTGGAGCCAACCAAGCAGCTACTACGAATAATCAGGTTGGTTTATGCGGTGTAGGGGGAATGAAATGTTGAAAGATGGGAACGTGGATTACTGACTATGAGAAATCGAATGTCTATGATCTAGGAAATTCGAGCTTGAAGCCCTCTGAAAAGCAGAAGATACTTTATTTTTCAAGGCATGCGCACTTTCTCTTCAAAATCAATTTACTAAATGTTTGCTAATTTACTAAGGGTAATGATCTGAGAAGTTCAGGAAGAGCAAATTTCGAGATTCCTTTGTGTAGTTTATCCATTTTCGTATAAATTCGTCCATATGAGATATACCAATTCATCTGACACCATTAAATATAAATAGTTCGTTGCTTTCATATTCCATACTATTCTCAAATTTTCATAGTTGTTTTCTCATTTTTTCAGTTTCTAAACGTCACATTTTCCATTAGATAGTGAGAAAATGTGCGCGAAAAAAAACGGGAGGAGAGCCAAATTGCGCCTTCTTTTTCCCTTTCTCTCTTGGCACTTTTTTTTGCATAAAACGCTTACGAGTAAATGGATTCGGAAAAAAGGATGAAGACGCATGAAAAAGAGCAGGAAGAAAAAGTTTTTTTTTTTGAAACGAAATAGGGTATTATCCTAAAAAGCATAAACATTTACCAAAAATTCCCGAAGTTCAAAGTGCTAGGTGAATAATGCATTTCTACCGTATGAATATTTCATGCAACTAAATATTCCACCTGTTTTCTTTGAATATTCATTGGTTGCTAAGGGACACATGAATGGCACATGACACATGATGCTACAGACCACAAAATAAAATTTTCAGGAAGAAATCGACATCGATCTGAAGGATCCACAAGTTCAGGATGCTGCTAAGAAGATTCAGAACGTTTTCAGAGGAAAGCGATTCGGAGCCAAAGCTACTGCTCCAGCTGAAGACGCCAAGCAGTAATTGGAGAACTAATATATTTTCTATACGACTGAAATAAAAATTTGTAACGTTTCTTGGCTAAAATGTTTATTAGAACTAGAAAAGACAAACAGGATTGAACTACAAATAAATACATCAGGATGAACAGACAGAACCGTAAAAACAATGACCTAAATTAAAACAAGCCACCCACAAAAAAATATCACAAAATGATTTAACATCATGCAGATGGCATTACTTTGAATCGTTCAAATGCTGCTTTTTCAAGCGTCTCTCTATCATCAGGATGTGAAATTTGAATGAGCTCGTAGGCTCGTTGGCGGATGGATTTTCCCCAAAGATTGGCGATTCCGTGCTCGGTGACGATGTAACGAGCGTGGGCGCGGGTGGTGACAACGCCAGATCCCTGAAAAAAGGGTGAACATTACAACTGAAAAAATTTAATTTTTGTTTCTTACACACCTGTGTTAAAAATGGCACAATTTTTGTTTGTCCCTTCGTGGTTCTCGATGGCAATGCAATAATCGCTTTTCCCAGACCATCGAAACCATGAGGACTGGCGGCCATAAAATCAACTTGTCCTCCGAATCCACTGAAAAAGTTACGTCCAATCGAGTCAGATACAATCTGTCCAGTCAAATCGATTTCGATTGCAGAGTTGATTGATGTCATTTTGCTGTTGCGGCGAACGATGTCGATGTGATTAGTGAAGTCACATGGTGCGAAATCTGGAAAATATATACGATTTGAAACCGTCGATTTCTTTTTACAAACTCACAGAACTCGGGATTGTTATCAATCTTTTTATAGAATTCCTTGGTTCCAAAAGCAAAGGATGATACTGTCTTTCCAGGCATGAACGCTTTCTTTTGGTTATTAATAATTCCAAGGTCTATCAAATCAGTTACTCCATCACTAAACATTTCTGTATGAATCCCCAAATCTTTGTGTTGGTTCATTGCGGCAAGGGCTGAATCAGGAATCGCTCCGATTCCCAATTGAAGAGTTGCTCCATTATCAACAAGATTTTCAGCAATGAGTTTCCCGATGCGCTGCTCAACTTCGGACATCTCTTCGTTTCCTTGACGGAATGCAATCGGGCGGTCCGTCTGAACCATGGCTGCGAAATGGGACGAATGAACAGTTGTGTGGCCGCGAGTCCGTGGCATTGTGCTGTTAACAAGAGCAATGATTTTTTTCGCACTTGTAGCCGCTGCAAGTGTGCAATCAATATCGACACCGAGTGTACAGAATCCGAGATCATCAGGCGGAGATACAGTAATCAGTGCCACGTCGACGTTCAGTGTTCCAGAAGTGTACAGTGATGGAACTTCGGAGAGAAAAACCGGAGTGTAGTCAGCAGTACCCAAGTTGACATTCTTACGGTTTCCTGGACAAATGAACAGACTGTTGTTCAGAATTTTGCCACGATATTTCGGGTCAAACTGTGGACAGTTTCCACTCAGAATCAAGTGAGACATCCGAATATTATTGAGGTTCGCCGAGTCGACACGTCGACACAATGCTTCTAGAAGAACGTTTGGAGCAGAAGCATGGTTTCCCACGTAGATGTCATTATCTGAAAATAGGGATATTGATGTGATTGTGGTCTGAACTTACTGGATTCGACCATAGCCAAAGCTTCATCAGCTGGCACATATTTTGGAACGAATCCAGGCTTTGCGTGCAATAGTTTTGTGGGAAGACGTGGGCCATTGGTGAAGTTTCTGAACGAATGTTGTCGTTTTTTACTGATAAGATAATCAAATCAGAATCGCTCATCCAGTTCTTTCCAAACTGGTTTTTCGTCTACATCATTACGATGATAAACCAACCTGGACACCGTGAACACATTTTTCAGCTTGCTGGCCATTTTCAGCGACATTCTCGCTATTGGATTCTGAAATAATGTGACTGGTTAGACTAGGTTAGTGGGCAGAGAAAGGGAAAACGTGGAGTTTATTCAAATGCAAATTAAGCATGGCTTTTGGTTGTTTCTGTTGTCACAAGAGGAGGCGGTCTTTGTGTCTGATATTTTGGGTTGGGTTTTGAACGAGAAATTCGACGAGGGGTGACAAAATTACGGATAACTCAAGATGAAAAAATCAATTGTTCTTAATTGAGTGAAAAATGTGTTGCTAGACTAAGCATCTTCAGGTGAAAGTGTAAAAAGAATGGACACAAGAAGATCACTGATAAGACATCGCACTAACAAAAATACAAATACTAGAAAAATATGATTTTTTTTCCAAACTGGGCTTCTTTCATAATTGCGCAATTGCTAAATTTATCAGGTATTTAACAAAAGTTTGCAAACGACGCTCCACAAATTTCTCTTGGCGTCTATGTCTCTGACTCTCTCGCTCTCTTAAAAATATTAATTTTATTCGATGCCCAGCGAGTTTCGTTTGAAAAGAATAGAACTTTATATCAATACCACAAATTTACTTGTATTTTCGAGGTTTTTGATATGGAAGAATGATGGGAGATTTGGCGATACAGGAGAAAAATAATGTGTTTTCACAGAGAAAGAAAAAGCTACCCATACGAAAGCACCAAAAAAAAATTGAAAGGAACGAAAAAAAAAATCGAATTCCTGAGAAGAGTGTACAAAAGTCATTTGATGGAAAGAAAAGCGAGTAATGACACGAAATGTGCACGATGAAAATAAGAGGAACTTCTGGGAGAAAAGGGTATTCATACAATACTATTAGTGATGAGAAGACTACGGTAGAAATTAGAGGACGGAACATTAAAATTTATCTCTAGTGGGAATGCAAAAAAATCAATTAATCCTTTCTAGTGACCTTTTTTGAAGACTTCATTAGACGATGGTCAGGTTAGTTTTCATCCCCAGAAGATCCTTGAAACGATGCCTGAAAAATTAAGGTTCCAACTTTTCTTGATAAGAATCCCTCACCATTCTGGATCGCAACGATTTTAATCCGTTTCTCATTGGCCTTTGCCGAAGTTCTGCGGGTTCCACAACTGGCTTCTCTTTTCCTTTCTTGATCGGCTCATCTAACAAATTGAAGTTGAGAACCGGCATGCGAGGCATATCACGAAGACTTCGACGAATCCGTGGTGGACACGACATTGGAGGTGGTGCCTCGTCAATCATATTTGAGTGATCATTCCAGTCGAGCTGTTGTTCGGCAAGACGCATTCTCAGATAACGATCAGTACGTTCTTGATCCAAAATCGAGGAATTCATGCTGTCGCCAGCACCAGCGTGATGAGTAGGATCTCGGGATCCGGAGCGGTTACGGTAGCTTGGAATGAGACGCCGAGCAGATTTCGGTGTTCCCCTGGAAGAAAATCTGCTTCGTTTGAGTATTATAAATGAATTTTAGGAAACTTACTGTCTCGTTACAGGAATAACCGGCTTTTTCGGAGAACTAAGCGAGTCCTCAGCAGTTTCAATAGCCGATGAGTTAGATGACGAACACGTTGCTTGCTCCTCATCTTCCATCTCGTCGTCGAAATTCAGACGGCGTGACACCGGTCCAGTGAAAAGACGACGTTGTGAATGTGGTGGATTCTCATCATCCGAAAAATCAAATGGCGAAATTTGAGAGGCCTGTCGGAGAGCTACCCCAGTCAGCGATTCTGAGTACACCTTTGACGTTTCAGGTGTCTGGATGGGTGTGTGCTGTTGGTTCTGAAATTAAAGTTTTTTTAAGTTGAAGGGATAGCTAGCAAGCACAGTATCATCAAGCTCACTCACATTCACGAATTGCGCGCAAAGCTCGGATCTGCGGTTATTGATGGCCTCGTGGAATCGTGTAACTGGATGGAAAACAACGGACAAAAATGCCATGCACCAGACAAGAATCGAGCTCATCAAGTTACAGAAGCCGTCACGCTGCAAGAAGAGTTAGTTAAACTAACTTAGTTTGATCATTCACAAAGCAAAGGGCGGGAGAAATTGAGTTTTGAATTGCGAGCATAAACTCGCAAAAAAAAAAACTTACCATATCCATGGACAAGATGTACCTCCTTCGCGAATCTAATCGAGTTCTGATAGACAGATGCTTCCGGAGAGCGTCACTAGTTGGGCGCTTCATTGGTTCCTTATTTATCATTTGTTCGATCAAGACTCGAAGGTCGCTGGAAATTCCGACGAAGAAACGCTCAGGGATCTGCCCGTTTCGAATCTGATGCCATGCGTCTCCATTGGATGGTACGTCCAAGTCCGTAGCTGCTTCGAGAATCGTCACACCTAGACTGAAAATGTCGGAGGCAAATGTGGGCTTGCCGTTAAGCACTTCTGGCGCTAGATACTTTGAGTCGCCTTCTTCAGCAGATTTTACATCGTTTGGCTGAAATATGCATCATTAAGAAGAGAATCTCGCAAGAACCTTACATTCTTCAAGTTGATGACCAAACCAAAGTCACCCAATTTGCAAATTTTGTGTTTAGTCAGAAAGATGTTCTCTGGCTTAATGTCATCATGAATCATATCATTCGAGTGTAAATGGTGAACAGCCTCCAACAAATCCACGAAAATATTCCATATCTCGTTCTCCGGAAGAGCATGTTGTACAGAGCAGTATTGCTGCAGACTTTGTTCACATAGCTCCGTTTGAATATAAAGACGGTCAGTTTCCTCCCAAGCCCGATAGAATTTGACAAGATTCTTGTGTGGTGGAATGATCATATGACTTTCAGCCTCACGATACTTGCTCATCGAGTGTTGACGCATCGGAGCGATCGAAACTTTCACTGCATAGAGGCGGGAATCTTCACGACAACGAGCAGCGAAGACTTCTCCGAATGAGCCGCGACCGATTATTTCGTCAATTTGGAAGACTTGCTCGAAAAAAGTTTGTGTATTTGCACGATCGTAGTGAGGAGATTCCAGTTCTTGAGGACCTGAAAAAGTTAAGTTCGGATGAATTATATGAATATTAGGACATTCGCGTACCATGTGGGGTGACCAATTGCGGTGTGGTATCCTTCCGCACAGACCATATGCTTCTAGTCTGCGGTACCGTTTTGATCATTCGTGGCGCTGGACGTCTGAATCGGGGTGTGAGCGCTTGCCGTTCGCGTTTCGTCGACAACGGCGTCTCACGCATCATCACAGGAATTGGAATACGTGGCGTAGCGACGACTCTTGGGCTCGACGGCCCAACCTCTACAGAATCTATGGAGGTATTGTTCTCTGTTTCGTCCATTCCGCTAAAAAAAAACGAATAAGTAATTACTATTAGTAGGTGGGGACGGCGAAGATCTGAATAAAGATTACATTAAAAAAAAACAATTTGTTATCGATACTTCTAATTTGTGTCGTTGGTCATCAGCAGATTGAAAACAATCAAACACATAAAGAATCAAACTCGAAAACTCAGGGGCTAGACCGGTTCAAAAGCACATTTTAAAAATTCTGAGGAAATTTCAGAAATCAATTTGTTTACGACACTCCGCCTTTTTTGCAAGATTTTTTATTAGCCGAATTGTTGTTTTTTTTTTGGTTTATTGACCCGGAAAAACTTTTGAAGAGGAAAATAATTACTGGAGCCGAGAAAATATCGAAAAAAGTATGGAAAAAAACATACAAAAATAGAAAAATGGGACACCAGTGACACAATGTAATTCAAATAAAGCGCGCGAAAATGTGAGGACGCAAACACAGCGACGTGCAGTTACACACAATTGCGCACCGTAGCCACGGCTAAACTATTCTTACTCTAATAAATAATACTCTTGTCCGAAATCAATGCACGTTGCGGCCGAGAAAACAACGGTGGGCGGAGCTTAGCTCCCACAGAGAGAACCTTACTGTATTTTTCAAATTATTGCACGCGCCTTTAATACAGTACCTCACCATTTATCGAATTTTCTCAAATTTCTCTCATTTTTTTGCTTGTTTCTGTCTAATTTTGTGTAATTCTTATAAATCTTTAATTTATTTTTCTTATAAAATAGAAAAAAAAAACAGCCAAATAGGGCCCAAAATAAAAAACGTCCGAGGTACGGTATTTAAAGGCGCATGCATCAATTTGTTTTTTCGCTGTGCGACCGACGATGCGATTTTGATTAAATTTTCGGCCGCAACGTGCAATGATTTCGGACGAGAGTAATAACAATATTTTATTTAGTTCAGAGAAAACAGTAAATCTTTCTTTTTTTGTTGATGAAGTTTTAAGAGAAAAAAGTCGGCGAACTATAATGAAAAATATTCAGGACAATCATGGGTGAACATTAAAAAAGAAAATAGAAGAATGGAACCGTAGAACGGAGAGGTGCTATTTTTAGATTTTTACATGATTTTTACTTTTTTTTAACTGGAATTTTCTTAAGGATTATGTGAAGAAAGACTTAAAGATCAATGCCTAAAGCGAGTTTTCTGGAGAAGAAGAAGAAACGATTTCTCATGTTTTCGGATGCACTACACAAAGCTGGGAATTTGTAAGGGAACATTTTACATCAAGTGGAAATCAGTGAATAATAATGGTAGTAATAATAATAATGGACGTCGATTCTAAACTCGTAGTTCTTGTATCTGCTTGATAAGATACGCCTTCTCATCGTTGAACTGCTCATCGTTGGTTCGATCATTATGGAAAGCCGTCAGAAATTCCACAAGCTTGTCGCGATTTCTATTGAGAATATCGGTGATTGGGCGCGGCTTGTTTGGATTCGCAACGAAAATCTGAAGAAAAATGAAGAAAATTAAGACAACTGAGTAAATAAATACTTTGAAAACATGGAATGCCTCATACTGAATATTGCGTCTTTTATCTCTCAACAATTCCATGACAGTCTTCAAATTCTCAGGACTTGTAATATATTTGTTCATTGTACTGAAGTTGTGACGGTCCAACAAAAGTTCTCCAAGCAGTTTTAACGATTGTCGACGCGTCACATAGTTTTCGGAATTCGTTAGCGCGGCGTAGGCAGTGAAAAACCGATCGTAATTGTTATCCAAATATTCGGCACACATATTCTTATGCTTTGTCATTAGATCCTTGAAAGTGGAGAAGGCGTCAGTGGCGATATCGAAGACGTCAGACTGAACGAAAACGAAAAATCGTTGAAAGTATTCAGAATACAGAACGATACGAGCAAGGTGCTCATGACGGACAGCCTCACGGAGCATAGATCCACATGTCAGAGCGATATCCGGTTGTTCGTATCTGGAAAACCACTAAATTGAGTTTTGAATTTAGAGAAAGAAATAGATTACCCCAGAAGAAGAGTGATAAGAATTTCAGGACGAGCAGCCAAATATTCCACAGTTGGCGATCTTGTGCCAATTTGACGACGGAGTAAGTTGTTGAAAACCTAGAAAACATCACATGAATGAATTTTCCATTTAAATTTCTCTCACCGACGCCACATCTTTCTTGCACTCAAACTCGAACTTGTGCAAATGTTTGATGAGCATTGGAAGGATATTGGCATTGTACACTTCTTGTGCCAATTGTGTCACTTGCTCGTTATTCGGCTCATTGGCGTCGGATCCGTAGATGAATGTCTTGGCAAGAGCCAACATTTTCGCGGTTTCCTCGATGGCTTTCTCCACTTTTCGCTCGTTTTGTGTGGCGCTTTGCTGAAAGGAAGCACGTTTTTTCATGGAATTTCAAAATCAAAAAGCTTACTCTGTCAATAACCAACAGCGCGTCACGCAGATTTTTGACCACATCTGCTGGCGTTTTGTCTGCTTTCCCAAATAACGGCTTCAACATTTCTGCGGAAAGAAATGTACTCTGTAGAAACTCTTCAAAAAAAAGTCAATAACGAGTAGGAAAGAAAGATATTTAGCCGAAATTGCTTTTGAAACAAATGGGATTATATGAGGAAATCGATTCTCGAAACAGAGGAATAAGATAGACTTTTTTCAGCGGTATTTTTTGTCCACAAGAAAAAAATTGTAGCGTGTGAAAAACGGGAAACGAAACCGGTCATGCAAATCAATGGGGGAATATGAAAATATGACAGAAAAAGACATAAATCTAAAACAATTTCAAACAAAAACATGTGAAATTAACAACAAAAACAAAAACTACTCTATTAAACCACAATTCTATTTATTTTTTTCTTCTTTCTCCTCTTTTCTCTTGAAATACTCAGTTTGTTTTTCATCTACAAAATGCTTCGTAAGGAAGAACCAGTACAACAAATCGTCGAATTCTCCAGAATACGTTTCCTTGAGCCCCAGCTCTTGATACTCTCTCAACGAGTAATAAATGGCTTCTATCGTGGCAAGACCAGTCTCCGGTACTTTATGTTGGGGTCGCCAGAAAGCTGTACGGTAGGATTGAAGTGACACGTGTTGGAGGCCTAAAGAATGGAAAACTAGTGTTTTATTCGGAGCTAAAAACCTCCAACCTTGAATCTGCGGTGTCTTCTGCATGACTCCAACTTGAAACCATGTGCAGTCCAATACCACTATTCTTTTTATCTCGCCGCGCGTCCGCACGAACTCCTCTACAGAAATCGCTGAGGCACTAGGGAAAATGATTGCAGTTGTCCGTCGTTCCTCTTCAGAATCCTTTGAGTAGTCATGAACATCTGGATAATCGAATACGCGTGTCTGATCAGGTGCAACGATTTTACAGTGGAGCGCACTGCTTTTGCTGTTTTTCTCCTTTGGATGTTTGATGATGTCGACGGAGCAGGGCAACTGAAAATGGATAACACTACGATTAAAAATGTGGAGATTGGGACTCAATTTTCCTGACTCAAGCATTGAGTCAGAAAAATCAACACCTCTGAACTATGACAAGTTTTTGGAAATTCAGAATTTACCTTAACACTCGGCGTAAAAACTCCCGGCTGTGGCGTTCGACAATCGTAACAAAAGTACATCCGGCTTGCTTTGCACTTTGGACACATGGATTTCACACACTTCGCAACTGGTTCGAAGCTGGAGAGATGAACATCATGTTCACTGATTACTGACATTGCTGAAATTTCGAAAAAATAGCGAACCCAAATATAAAGAAAAAGTAGCAAAGAAAATATATTAATTTGACTGGGGATAAACCAGAAAGAAACAAAGTAGGAGGTTGAAATTGTTACTACAAATATATATTCACACTGCAACCAATTAATATAACAACAATAAATATCCCGTTTGAATGAATGCTATCATCACAATTTTAATATACTTTTAACATTGGAATAACCATATTATGCTACTGGAATGGTTTCCTGAACTGCCTTAACATCCACAATCGCTTCCCCGACCATTTCATCTAATTCTTCTAGAACGACGTGGAAACCAAAATGCAAGTAGAGGATGAGCAATAAATTTGCTCCAATCGCGATTCCAATTAGCATTAGTCTGTTGGCAGGGAGGCGAGACTGATTACATATAATAAGTCCCTAAATTTTTTTTGAATATGATATGGAAACTTTGTGACATTTTACCATTCGGAGAGCGGACGGGACACAGAAACTAGCGAGTAAAACGAAGAAAAATAGGTGATCGTGAGATGAGTGAAATACGGAGGTGAGGAGAAGGACCAGACATTGGGATGTCAGAGAGTAGCCCTGCAAATGATTCAATTTTCAAATTTGGATTTTCAAACTCACAAAGCTGGATAAAATTGTCAAAAACGGTTGTTCGGCGGCGAGAAGGAAACACGCGATCCATAATGCTCCAGAAATCAGCATCCAACTTCCAAAGCATGTGAAAATTGCCGTTCCCATCAAAGTTCCATTTTGAATTACAATCCTGGAAGAAAAACGTTTTTCAATCGTTTTTTAAAAATAAAAATCAACTTTACCCGCTCGTTTTCATATGATACAACAAAAGAGCCACCATTGTCAGAATAATCATCGTAGGACCGTAAAGGTCTGGAGATACTTGAATTTGTGACGGTTTTCGAGGAATAAAGGAACGAATTAGTCGGGTACGGACCTTAAAATCCATGTTGCGAGTAAACTTTCAATAACTTCAGACTTACTTCTGCCGGATCCACATCGAAATACGGGCGGAACAAATCAATGCGACCGTAAGATTGAAATGTGTCCTGAACTTGCTTTGATCCGGCTTCCCACATCTGGAAGCTTTCTATATTGTTAATAAATAGTTCGTTGTGAGATTTTACAACCTTGTCTGATCTTTCAGACATAAAAACTTTTCTGAACAACCGTTTTCACCGTACCATTTTTCCTAGCTGTGCTTGCATACCGAATTGCCCGTTTTGGTTATCGCCGAGACCTCCGGCATTGCTATTCGATCTTTGTCGAGGCGTCTTTTCATATTGGTTATAATATGACGGCTCCATATGTGTTTTTACTGAAATTTTCGGAATTTTGTTCATATTAATTGAAGAATTTCGATACAATCTAGAAATTTGCCATTTTAAAGGTGAAAAGCGATTGGGAAATCAATTTAATGCCGACAACACGAAGAAGTGCAATCGTGCCCCATCGGTGAAAAACCGTCGGCGCCAGTTTCAAAATTTGTTTTTTTCCGACCGAATTCTCTTTTTCCAGCTAAAATATCAATTAATAAAATTAAAACAAAGCAATAATTGTATTTGTGAGATTTAACACATTTATTATTCGATATACAAATCAAAAACCAAATATTAAAGCTTATATTTAACAGAGAAGTCGGTGGAGTCACCGGGATATTTCTTCTCCCGACTTTTCGGGATTTAATTCTAGAAAAATCTAGAAAATAATTGGAAATGCTGTAATGGGAAAATTGTCATAAAAAAGTGAAGGGAAAACAATATTTATACATGTTGGATGGTCTTGTGGTTGTTGTTCTCTTGTTCGATTTCCTTTTCTAACTCATCAAAGTTGACACCCTGTAAAATGAAGTATTTCGAGATGTGCGAATTTATTCACAACTCACATGAGCTTCCACAAAAGCATGAGCTTTCTCAGCTTCTGCCACATCAGCATTCAAATGATCCGCACAAATATGATGCACAAATCCACAACCTAAAGCATCTCCGATAACGTTGACCGAAGTCCGGAGTCGATCCCTGAATTCGAAAGAAGCTGAAAAAAATAGCGAAAAAAACTTACAAAACCCAGTCTACAGCCAAAATTAGAGAAATATCGTTAGCTGGAAGTCCTAAAGCAGTCAAAACAATCAGCATAGTAACGAGACCCGCCGATGGGATAGATGCCGCACCAATAGATGCTAACGTGGCAGTTATGGATACTGTAATAATTTGACCAGCCGACAGATCCAAGCCGTTCATTTGAGCAATAAAAATTGAGGCTGTCGCTTCATACAAAGCAGTTCCATCCTAAAAGCTGAGATGTATTCGGTCCAAATATTTGAATGTTTACCATGTTCACCATTGCTCCGACTGGTAGTACAAACTTAGTGACTCTTGGATCAATTCCCAGTTTATTGAGACATCGGAAAGTGACTGGAAGAGAAGCAGCACTCGAAGAAGTACCTAATGCAGTCATGATGGCTTGTCCGAGACCACTTAAAAACTTGTATGGATTGTGACGAGTTCCAATGACATAAATCAGGGGCAAGGTGATAAACGCCTGAAACTTAGTAAATTTTTAGCGTTTTGAATTGCTACAGCGCACCTGAATGCCCAATCCCAAAATAACAGTGAACACAAAAAGCCCCAACACTCGTGCGGTTTGCCATAAGTCAGAAACTTCCAACATTTTTTGAGCAATCAGTGATGGAATTCCAATCGGTCCTAGCCACATAATAATCATAACCATTCGAGTGATAACAACATCCAAAGCATGGAATAGATTAGCTAAAGGCTTTGCCTCTTCTCCAATTTTCGAAATCACCAGACCCATGACAATACAAAACACAATGATACCTGGAAGATAATTTTCTGGGTCATAAAAATGTGTTAGTCTTACCCAGTACATTCATCCCATCAACATATCCAGTTTTCAATTCTGTTTTTTGTATTCCGTTAGAATTTGTTACGTTGACATAGTGGGTTTGGTACTGAGAAAATGTGGCTCGCATTATATTTTCCGGGAACGCATTTCTAAAAAAAGTTTCGAGTTAATATTCAGTAATGGACAAAATACCGTAAGACCCCCTCTTAACTATTAACTTTGAGACATTTTTCCTCGGTTCCTGTTAAAGGTATGAAAAATCTGTCAATATATAAATTGTTTATCATATTATCAAAAGCATTATATCAGTTGACAACTTTTTTATATCTCTCAAAGGAACCGAGATAATTGAGCTTAAAGTTGACAGGGGGGGGGGAGCCTTTCTTACTACATTCTTTATGTTACATTCTTTATGCTTCCTGCTCATTGGGTAGAAAAAGCAAAATTAAATTTATTTAAAAAACACAATTGTCCTATTGTTCCGAAGTTTAAGGACATACGTAACAAACATGGAGGTTCATTTTTTTCTTCTTTTTTTTCATCATGTTTCTTTATGAAATCTGTCAATAGCTGAAAAACTATTTTTTTGAAAAAAGTGAATGCAAAGTTTTTAATCTAGGGCTGTTTTATAACCTCCGAAATTTTTCAAAGTGATCGGACGCTTGATAGCCAAGCTTCAAACTCTTGAAAATGACAAAAAATCAACGGCAAAAATACGTTTTTGTGTATCTTATTGACTGTTACTGTATATCCTAAGTTACCTGAACAAATCCAAAAACTTTTGAGCAGCAGATTCATTTGCAGTTGCCCCTTCTTCAATTCCCATTTTTTGTTTTATAGTTGGATCTCCTGGGTGGATGATGGAGACCACTATGATTCCAAGAATAACCGCATGTGTAGTAGTAATGACGTAGTACATAACAGCACGAGACCCCAAACGCCCTGACGTTTTCCCATCCAATTGGGATAGTCCTAAAAGCTGTATACTTTATACCGTCCAACCTGTAATAGATGGGCTCCCACACTGTCAACATTATGCTCAATTATCTCGGTTCCTTTGAGAGATATATAAAAGTTGTCAACTGATAAAATATTTTTGATACTATGATAAACAGTTTATTTTTTGACAGCTTTTTATATCTTTAACAAAAACCGTGGAAAACTGTCTTAATGTTACAAGTTAACGGTTCCCTTTTCTTACAGGTCTTACGGTATTTGGCTCAGGTTCAATAAAAATTACCTGACACAATACTAGCAGCAATCAAAGGCAACACCATTGCTTTCAACATATTCATGAATAACTCTCCGGGGAACCCAACATATTTAACAATTTCTTGAGACGGTTCCAAGTTTCTTAACACTCCTCCAATTATCACTCCCATCACAATACCAGCCATTGTCATTAATAAAAGCATGTTTTTGGTGAGCCAAGATGTCCAACGAGCCCCACACTTGTTTGTGGACATTCCCATTTTTTAAGCTGAAACTAGATTCAGGTGAAAGTTAAATTTCAAAATGTAAGGTTTAATCAAAAAGCTAGAGAACCTGAGAAGCTTTCATCTCCTGAAACAATGAAAGAGAGCTACAATCCAATAAAAGCGCAAGAACTCATGTTTGTGCACTCTTGCACGATTAGGTCGTATCTTGTATCGACCTCTTGAGAGAACTAGATCACCCGTAAACGGATATGGATAACGTTGCACAACCCAAAACAGACAAAAAGGGAGAGAGAGACCATTCACCAGATCATAAAAAAATATATGTCTGCATAAAGAAAGTGGTTTTCAAAAAAAAAGTGGGCGGGTCTTAAATCGTCCATCTCTAACTCTCTATCTCTCATGAGAACAAAAGGGGAAACATATGATTGTTATGCCGTATAATGTTTTTTGTATGCATCGGTTTGTGTTTGTTACAATAATACAAAAAACTGTAGGTTGATAAGTATTTGAACATGGAATGTACGGAAATTTGGGTGGGTCTTATTGATGAATAACAGAAACATTAATTGTAAGATTTCTGATAGTTATAGACTACGAAATTTCACATAAATGTTTTCCGTTGATTTTTGTCCATTTTCAGGAGTCTGGAGCTTGGCTGTCAAGGTGTCAGATCACTTTGAAAACTTTGAAAGGTTCAAAACAGACCCGGACCGAAAATTTGGCATTGATATAATTTTGGAAGACTCCTTTTTTTGGATTTCTGAAGGACACATTTTTTCATGTTTTCCGTACAAAACCACCCAAGGTAGGATATCTTTAAGAAATCGAAACTTTCAAAAAGTTCTGTGAACGCAAAGCTTTCAATTTGGGTCTGTTTTATACCTCTCAAAATTTTCAAAGTGATCCGATCGGTGTCTCGACAGACGAGCTCCAAACTCCTGAAATGGCCGAAAATCAACTGAAAAACACATTTTTGTATATATTATTGACCGGTAGTGTATATCTAGAGACACAAATACTAAAAAATAAACGAATTATTTGTAAATCGTATTCGAACTAGTAACTTTTATCCAATCCCAGTACACTTGTACTAAAAAAAACACACTCTGAATGGGGTGGGAACAATTATCCTTTCACGAATGGTTCATTGAATCCATGATTTTTTTTTGAATTTGTTAAACAATATTTTTCACTAACAATGAGAATATTCTTAACTCTTTCCAAGAGAAATGATTAAAAATGGCTACTAAATTCTTCTCAAAACGATTATATACATAGATAGTTCAAAAATTTGAAGGTGCATAAAAGAGGCAGAGGGTCAATGGGGTGGTCTACTCGGTAAATGTGGGCAACTTTGGGGCAGAAGTTGGGCGAATTGGGCTGCGGGCCGACTTTGATCCAAGGCTGGGCAGAAGTAGGGTAAAAGTCCAACGGCGCGCAGAGGGGCAAAGGGTGGGCAGACGCTGAGCAGAAGCACAGAAGATTGCGATGATGCAGCATTTTTTAACGGTTATAAGTTTTAAACATATTTTTCATACGTTTTCTATTAATTTTCTTACGATTATCTCTAAATTTTTTCAAATACTGTCAATTTCTTATCCTTTTTTTTCAGTTTTCAACGAAGGAACAGGAGGATGAGTGTCATCGATGAGTGGAATCGGGGCAAGCGAAAAAAAAACGAGAAGCCATTGTGAGCATAAAATAGAATGAGTTTTTTAATGTTTCATTTTAAGAGATGGAATATCAGTTAGCAAGTATTCAACATGGAAGTCCAAAAATGACTCGAATTTGCTTCCCGCTTTGATACTAATCTACGAATATGGGGACAAATGATATACTATTTCCTTACATTCAATGAAAATTAAACTCTCCTTTAATACTAGTTCGTTTCACCTTGAACCCACTACTCTTCTGACTTTTAAAGAGGCATAAAGTAAAACCACATGTCTTCTTGTTCTTTGTAGCTGATATCAGTACGCAATCTCCTTGAAAAGATCATTCTACACACTTTCGAACTTCTGACGTAGACAGTATCACAATATCAGTCATAAGATTAATACATGTCTTTTTTTGCAAAGGAGAACAATTTTTTAGTAAACAGAAGGTAATTTCGGCGAACGAATGGAGCCAAAAATTGAAATAAATTTTTGTGTTTTCATTTGATAACCAATGCAATGACGAAAAAAAACACATGCAGTTAGAAATTTGTAAATGGAACACTGGTCTAATTTCAATGCGCGCTGCGGCCGGAAATTTGAGGGTGGGCGGAGCTTAGTAACGGTAGCAAGATCCTTTTAAAGGGAGATTTAAAGGAGCGTGTATTTTCTCAATAATTTTCCGGTCTATCTTTTCTCGATTCTTCGATAAATTTCTGATAGAAGGGCCCTCGGCGAGGGGCTTGGAAAAATGGAAGGGCCCAGTAATATTAGGTTGGTAAAAAAAGTAATGCGCGTTTTTGATTCATTACAATTTCATGCAAAACTAGGATATTGGTCAAAGAGCTTTCAGCAACATTATCCAACAATTATTGCCAACGCTTGATCAAATTTTCGATGCCTCTCTTGAGAACTACACCGGCTGTAATCCGAAAGAGGTCGCACAAAACGCGCATTACTTTTTTACCAATCTAATAGAAGGGCCCCCTACAAAATGTTTCTTGAAATTAAAGAATCTTCCGTACATTTTCAGAGAAAAAAGTTCCGGGAACTCCACAATTTGATACAAATTCTTTGAAACGCAATTTTTTAAAATAAAAACTTGCTCAATTTTGGTTAGATTGGCAGTTGTCATGAATTTTAGCGAAAATTCGTCAAATTTCTTAATGAAATGTTTGAAAAAATGGCTGGAAAAATAGAAGGACCCCCTGTAATTGAAGGGCCCCTCTAATAGAAGGGCACTCCGAAGGTATCTTGGAACAATAGGAGGGCCGGCCCTTCTAATACAGGTTTTACGGTATTTAAAATTCATCGACAAATCAAAAAAATATACCAATTCAATCAATTTTGTTGAAGTAACAGCCCATTCTGTTTCACCCGTTAGTTTCCGGTTAGATTACCCGGCTCAGTTCAGGTTCAACAATTTCAGACAGAGTTTCTCTTTCCGATTATTTTTGAATAATTTTGGATTAACACTGGCTTAGCATGTTAGAATGGTGGTGACTAAAAAACTGGTAGCAAAAATCACAAAATGTTGATGGAAATTTGAAGTTGGAGATGTGAGGGAATTTTATATGATATGAGAAATTAGGCGAGAATACATATGTATATATTTGAGGTCAAAAATGAAGCACGTCACGGAAACCGATAGAACAAGGTGTGTGATAATTTGCATATTTTGTAGATCAGACTATCATAAAGAAAATAAGTTTTTGATCTAGAATGATTTATCAGAAAAATTGACTGGGACCGATCTGATGACCATTAGATTTCCAGTCTGTCTAGCTACTAAGGGTAAGAGTTCGTCTGTGAAAACCATAAAAATGATAGGCCTGCGTGCTTCATAGGCTATACTGTATAGCCTTTACATCATAGAAAAACATAGAAAATCAGATTGAAATTAAATAATTTTCAGGCGCTTTTATATTGTATTTTAGGTTCAAGTGTAAACTGTATGTTCTTTTGATCTTCAATTTTGACACCTCGCAATAAATTAAACAACATTTTTTAACAACAAAAACAACAACAACAACATTCTTCTGAATACTTCTTCTTTTTTTCTAATAAATCTTCTAAAATACAATATCAAAATCAATTAGTTTGTATGTATACAACTCGTACTACAATCATCATCACCTCTACCACAGCAAGAAGAATACAAAAAAAAACAGGTATCTTCTTTTTTTTATCGACGCTCTTGGTGGCTGTGTTTATGTTATATGGGGGTTTGTGAGTGCGTAAAAAAGGTATCATGACTGCATAAATTAGTTTCATTGGTGATGAGACAATTTGTGAGTTTCAAAACTGCAAGCTAGGACTTAAGATACCATCTCTGTCACTTGCTTTGAGGAAAATCATTTGTATTGATTACAAGTCTCGAATATTATTCTGCACATTAATGTATCGATCATCGAAAAAATGTTTTTATCATCTTTTTGTGTCTTAATCAGTAGCTGAGATATCGTATACCTTCTAATAGAACCCCATCCAAATCGTCGAATTTGAGCTCATATATCTTGTGTAAGATATCAAAAATTAGTCAACTGACAAAATGTTTATTATAATATCAGCAACAATTCATCAGTTGAATTTTTCTTGATATCTTTCATAGAAAATGAGGTAGACGGGATCAAAGTTGACGGTGTAAGTGGCGTTTACGGCAATTGGGATCAAAATGACAAATTTAAACTTTTAGATGGCAAGATACGGAACTACCGGGAAACCTGTAACAGAAGTATCCTTTAATTTTCAACTTTGAGTTACTTTATCTCGGTTCCTGTCAAGGTTATATAGAAGTTGACTGATCGATTGTTCACCATAAAATTACAAACATTTTATCAGTTGACATATTTTTGGTATTTTGCATAGAAACCGAGATAATTAAGCTTAAACTTGAAGGCCCGCATATTACAGGTTTTACGGTAATTTGTTTAAAATTCGTTTTTTTTTTGGAAAATAATCGACTTCCGTATTTTTTTTTCGTTTCAGTTTTTTTTAAATCTCGAAGTTATTCTCTTTGGATCACAGAGATACAACGTGCTGCCGTCGTGCTATCATCGTGTTCAATATCGTTCTCATATCTATTTTAGTTCTCTCATTGAACCATCTCTCATTGAACCTAATAACATTGAGTTCAATGTCATTTCAATTAGAAACCTTTGTGAAAAATAGAAAGGTAAGAGAAGAAAAAGTCATGTTTACTATAATATTCAATTTAAAAAACTAGTCATCCAGATAATCTTTTCAATTTCCGAACTTGTAAAACTGTGGTCACCGGTATAGTGGATACAATTTTTTGCACTCGAAGCAGCCGTTTCCTAAAAACGTTTATGTTTTAATCGCTTTTTCAGAACCTGTTTGGTTTTAAAAACTTACTTGACAAGTAATCTTTTAGCCACTGATGGTTTCCGATTTGGAAAACTTATAGGTTTCTTGGAAGCCATGGAATGGTTACGAGATAGTGGTCCTACAGAACTTTAACAAAGTTGGGAAAAGCTCTTGAAACCTTACTGGGTAATCGGTTTCCTCCATTTTCAAAAATGACATTATATTCTTGGAGGCACGACTCGGGTACTGTAATAATTTTAAACCTATAATTCAATTTCTCTTAACATACTTCGAAAGCATTGTGTCTTGTTTCTTGTTCCAAATCTCTTCCCACATGCAGACTTTGTTAGCAATGGGTCACCACAGGAACATCGGGATCTCAGAGATTCTCTGGGTACTAGGAATCGATAGGATCGTTTGTTAAGCAGTGTGGGATCACCTGAAAAAGATAAAAACATTTTAAAATTTCTTTAGCGCTCCAAAGCAATGTTCCTTGATAAGAGAAAAATAAGAGTGTAACTCACAAATATAGCTATTATGCGCCAACCATTTATACAGATTCACTCGCCTTGGTGGCAAAGCTGTTGCATAATTGAAATGAATTTCCAGAACTAAAGCTGATATTAAAAATAACATATTAGAAGATTGTGAATATATCTGCATCTGAAAAAAATCCTTCAAGAATTCTATGAAATAGCAAAGAGAGAAGTAGGGCTAGCACAATTAAAAATATCATATAAGTATAGTAAACCTGAAATACTATATTTTCAGAAAGATCAAAAACGTTTTCTGATGGAAATTATTTGAGAGATTTCATGATGATGGTCATTTTTATTTGTTTTCCGACCTCCCACTTGTCGGAAACAAAACACTTAGCAGTTGAGAGAAATTTCATTTCACACTCAATATACATTACTATTTGAAATTTAAAACAGGAAACAAAGGGATTGCAGAAAAAGTATTTTTAGATGTCTTTGGACACTCCTTTGGACACTCTTTGAAACGATAAATATCTTCATTACAATTCAGTTTAGATTTTGTGAGATGCTGGCGACCATGCTTTTACCGAAAACTCTAGAAAACGGTTCAGAAAACTCGTCAAATTCACAGAAACAATTACTGCTTCATGCCGTATCGGTTTCTGGGCAGGACCTTCTAAATCTACACATTTCCCCGAGATTATCAGGTGCCATTTTGTTGAATTTGACCCTAACGTAACTTTTATAAAAGATCATTTCAGTACTGGTCAATAGGATGTATAAAAAAACATATTTTTCAGTTGATTTTCGGCCATTTGCAGGATTCTGGAGCTCGGATGTCAAGTCTCCGATCACTTTGAAAACTTTGGAGGGTGTAAAAAAAACCTAGATCAAAAACTTAGCATTCACAGAAAACTAGGAAAGTCTCTGAATGCAAATGCAAAGTTTTCTATCTAGGTCTGTTTTATAACCTCCAAAAATTTTCAAAGTGATCCGAAACTTGACAGTTGAGCTCCAAACTCCTGAAAATGTTCAAAATTTACTCCAACAATCACTCCACTGTATATTTCTCACAACTTTTTCATTTCGCTGTATCCATTTTGGACCTCTTATCACCTGATAATAAGACCTAAAAAAGTGTGATCAAAACCTTTGTACCATTTTGTTACACTAACTCAACACCCACGTTATCTTTTCATCTTTTGAACGTTGACCGTGTGAAGATGAGAAAACGAATTGAATCATAATATATAGGACACATCACCTATTTTGTTTTCTCACAATGAACATTTTGATTTTTTGAAAATATCGCTTGAAAATCAAACATCAAAGGAAGTTTGACCGGATTTACAGTCATTTTAACTTTCAGATGTAGTTGGGAGTGTTTTGGAATTTCTATCAGTTCGAATAAAAAAAAATACGACTCTTAAAACTAACATGTAAAACTTCCAAATCAAGGATTCTCCCCATATTCGGTTTAAGGCTTTTTGTCTTTAACGCTGGTTTTAGATGCCCCTTTTCAAAACTCTATTAAAGACCACAAAATTTTAACCAATTTTTACAGCATTTCAACACATTTCAAAAATCAAACCCCATAAAAACAGTATCATCTTCTATCTAAAAAATTTCTCCTCACTTTTTTTCTTCATCTCGGCTATCCGATTCTGCACGAATCGACTATTAAAAGACCGCGTGCCTTTTTATCAAACTTCTATGAATCTTCTATCTGTCTAACGTCTCTTCATCAATCTAGTCTTTTCTAGAAAGGGGTCTGGAGGTCAGTAATGGTATATAAATAGGAATGGGAATTGATAAAAATCAAATGATTGGGTTCTGTTTTTTTCTCTATGATTCTGATTTCCATTTTTGTCACATTTCGTTCTACTAATTAGCAGAAGAACCAGTTAGAATCTCATTTCTCAAGTTTTGCAGAAAAAATGTTCTTATCTACAACAACCGTGCAGAGGATATTCGTTTTATTTTTAAATCTGCCAAGTGAGTTTTAAAAAATAAATATATATAAGATAAACTATCTCACTTTCAAAAAGGCTGAATTACAGTAATCTCAACATTCAGTCTACTTGATAGAGTACATGGAAAAGATGTGCGAACTAGTATACCCGATTTTAGAACTTCGGATGCAGATGTTGGAATGAGATCGGTAAGTTATATACCGTAAAACCTTTAATAGAAGGGCATCTTAATTTTTAAATTTGAGTCGATTTATCTCGGTTCCTATCAAAAGTATAAAAAGTAGTCAACTGAAAAATTGTTTATCATAATATCACAAACACTTCATCAGTTGAAAATTTTCGAAAGCAAAGCGAATTTAACAAATTTTAGGCACATTTCATTGGTTCCTTCCGAGGACAACCAATTAAAACAAGGCAACATCATGCGTTTATAGACGATAATGGGTAAGCATTAAAATCTCAAGCGTCTCTACTATAAGCATGACACTCTCTAGCTTATAAAAACTCTAGGTTATAGAAAAAATCGGCATGGAAAAAAAAGTTGAAAAAATAACAATTTTGCAGCGTTCCCATTCCACTGCTTCCATATCATGAACATTTCTCTACAGGATCCGCTGAATCACTTTCTTCTCCTCTTCAGAATAAACATAAGGCGCTGATGCGTGAGCGTAAAATCTTCAAATGGGCCAAGGAAATCGGAGGAATCGCCAAAAAACGAAGAAGGAGAAGTGGATGGAGTAGTGGAAGAACATAGTAACCTATTTATCATGTACATTTTGTGATGAATGTGTATAAATATTTTGACTGATTGCCTCTTGTGGAAATAACTTTTTAATTCAATTTCCAGAAGTTTTGAATAGTTTTTTATTTAAAAGAACATATTTTATTACCAGATATGTTACAGAACGAGAAATTATTAAGCACAAGAATAGCTTGCTAAGTGTCCACCTTGTCTTCCGATTTTTCCTTCTTAACCTCCTCTTCCTTCGTCTTCTCTTTCTTCTCCCCTTTTACCGAATGTTCCTTACTTCTGTCCTTCTTCTTTTCCTTGTTTTTCTCATCTCCATCCTCACAGGTGATTCGCGGACAATCCGTTACGGACGCTCCGCGTTTGCGCGCGGTTGAAATAGGAACCGCATAAGGACCGTGCGCGAACCGTTTTTAGTAAATAGCAGTACATTATTCGGATTGATCCGTATTCTGTCCGTTCGCGAGCTCCGTATCCGTATGCGGTTCCTATTTCAACCGCGCGCGAACGCGAAGCGTCCGTAACGGACCCGTTCGCATTTTACCTGTGCTGAGCCTTTTTGTTGTTCTTGTCCGCCGGCTGAAAACAAATTGAAATGTATTTTTTAAATCTTTTCTTTTTCATTCTTGATTAGAGCCTCCGCTGGCTTTTCCATTTATGATGGCCCATTTCCACCGGCGCATGTTTCCATGACAGTCGCACCTCCGCCGCCTCCTGTGGTAGTGATACCAAATCCACTTTGAACATCCTTCTGACGAGCGATCTTCTTATTCTTCTTACCACACAGGAGAGTGAGAGCTGAATCGAAACATTTTAGTCGAGAACTTTACTCACAATCAACTTGAACTTACCGAATGCTGTGGCTGAAATTAACCAAAGGAACATGATTCCAGCAATACCAACGATATCACTGGTATCAGTCAGGCATGTAGTGCTAGCTAAAACTTTCTATCCGAGCAAAATGATGACAATTGGGTAAACTAGATTAGGGTACGTGTTCTTTTCAGTCACCATGTTTGTAAGCTGTCTGCATTACGGTCACGGAGAAGATCAATTTTTGAAAAAAGGTTATTGTTAAAAATATGTCGAGAATGAAAACACCAGAAGAGGTTCAGACTGAAATGATGTCTCAATTGTTTCGATCAAAATCTGGAGAATATAAAAAGTTGAATGAATCTGTGGAATACCATGACAACGCTAAGAAAAATAAACATGAAGACGTTTCTGCGAGTTTCCCTTGTACTTTCCCAGACTATTTGTTACTTTTTCAGCCATCAACTCTGACTAATCAAGATCCATCGGAGCTTCTCGCATCACTTGAAAAAGCACTTTCCGAGAAATCTGATAACTTGGAATTTGAGCAATCTCTTCATTCCTTGATTACTTTAGTGATTGGAGTACGTCTTTTTTTGATAGTTTATGTGCCCTAATGTTTTCATATTTATAGATGTTCACTTCCTCCCCACACTGGCTGGTACGTGACAAAGCACTCAAATGTCTTCGCTTGATGAATCAAAAACTGGGAAACCAATCAATTGATAAACATGCTAAAGCTTTGATTTCCTGTAGAAAGCAGAGAAAGGTTTTGAAAAACTTATTGTGAATGAGAATAAAGTTTTTAAACAATTTTTTTCTTTTTCATTTAAAAATTAAAGTAAAAATACAGAGTGAAAGACAGAAAAAAGGGGAAAAGCTGACGTTACCCGATGAGACGGATTGAGGTGGGGAAAGAATAGAAAGTTACAGCAAAAGCAAGAGTACAGTGAAGAGATTTAAAAAACTCAAGAATCGGTTTGCTTTGTTGAAATATCTAGATTTCTCATGAGAATAGAAAAGTTCCTTGTTCGGTCTATAAGTTGACAAAATATGATTTTTAGCATGTTCCTCTTCCACAATAATCTCTCCAGAAGTTACTAAGATACTGTATTCAGGCAGTTCCAATCGCGGAGTGTTGAATTTGAAAATTTTCGGGAATATGATGAACGGGTATTCAGAGATGTTTGGAGAGCGAGTTTTACGAGAAAGTGTGCCTGTTGATCCTTCTGGGGAGCAATTATTGACCTGAATGTAGATGAATGTTTTTGTTTCTTTACCAACAAATAAAAAAAAAACTTACCGGACATTCTCCCGTAGGACTCTTCATAGTGATTCTAATATTACATTTGAAGTAAACTATGTGATTGTCCACAAATTTGAAAGCATGCGAGCTTGCAGCTGCTCTCATTGATCCTTCCTTGTACTTAATCGGGGAGAGGAGCTCTCCATCCGTAGTACATCCATTCTCATCAACTACTTGCACATTATCAGCACCACCATCCTCAGCTGTGCAGCTATACACCTAAAATATGAAATTGTGTTTTTGAGATTTTTTTGAAATCTTACTTGGATGCAATAGATATCACTTGGAGTATCACCAGAACATGTCCAAATATGAATGACAGAATCGCCAACATTTGCAACTTGCGCGGATTCGGACAGAGAAGAAGTGACGACTCCTGGAAAATTGTTATAGGAAATTAATTTACTTGAATTGAGGTTGGAAGGTTTCTAAATCCAATTTTTGAACACTTTATTTAATAGCTTTAAAACCACTCACCTCCTGCCACAGCTTTCCCACCAGTGACTTCCACACGGTAATCACATGTAGGTAATTTAGGAGCATCACTTAAACTCCTCGGTTGTGGTGCGTTCACAGCCAACATCGTCTCCACTTTACTATTTTCTTCTCGGTAGAAGCAATCAATTTGATATGCCACGTCACGATGAGTGATTATGGATCCATGATACGAAACAACGAGCACAGAAGACATAGTCATTCCACGGGGAGCCGCAATCTAGAAATTTTAAAGTATAGTGTTCCATGATTCTTTCCATCAATCTTTAAACTTTCACAAACCTGTCTTTTTCTCCTGCTCGGACAGTCATCAAAACCAAATTCAAAACTGATGTTTTGACTTGGCTGTGTTGAGAAATCGGCTTTACAAGATTTTTTATCAGCAGATCCTTTCAAAAACAATGCACCTTTGAACGGGCTGTCGGCTTCAAGTAGAACCGTGATTCCTGTAGGGGCACATCTGATTCTTGGTTCTCCTGAAAAGTTTGAGTTTAATAAACATCTTCAAAAATCTTTTTTTTTCTGGTTCTATGTATGATGAAAGTGGTTTCCTCACTATCATGCTAGAACGAACATGAGATTATAACGAATTATGAAAAATCTCAGGTTTATGAATTTTCAAACTTTTACCAATAATATCCCCAACTGAGGGGTGCACAAATATCCAACTGAAAAATAGAAGGAGAATTATCATCTCAATAGAGAATGATGGAAATCCGGATTGGAATAAAATCTACGAAAAGAATATATAGTGAAAAGAAATAATAATATAAATAATAATAATAACAGTACTAATCAGTGATTCTTGGACAGTCCCTCTCCACTCCTCCGTTTTCGGTCATATAAGGTCATCCGCTGAGAAATAGTGTGTGTTCTACAGATGGTTGCGAGACAATCAGAAAGGGGGATTTGATGAGCCGGAAGGTCATTTCTGATTGATATCTGGACCAAGAAAATGAGGTAAAAGAGGAAGAGAGCGATATGCGCAAATCTGATGTCCGTTCAGTAATCAGGATGGATCCACTCGCTTGTTTAGAGAAAAAGGGGGATAAGAGCATGGGGAAAGGGTACATGAAACAAAACCTAGAGTTATAACTTACAAGTTACCTAGTTTTTCTTTCGGAATGTCTTCGAGAACTTTTTCAAAACGTTTGCGGAAAATTCCTCGAGACATTTCTCGAAAAATCCTTTTACAAATATCAAGAAATTCTTCGAGAAATCAAAAAATGTCGGGAAATTTAACAAAGATTTTCTCGAAAAATGGGGAGTCAAACTTTTTCCAGTTGGGTTTTCTAGGCCTAGGCCACCATCTTGAAATGACCTGGAAATGGCGTGTCATGCCTCTGGTCTATTTTTTAGGTGATTTTAAAGGGGTGGCCTAACCTTTGCAAGTTAAATTTTCTAGGCCAACACAAATGACTTAGAAAACACACCAGGCTAATATTAATTCTAGGTCATTTCGAGGCGGTCTAGAAAATCCAACTTGCAAAAATTAGGTCATCATTTCCAAATCACCAAAAACAAGGAATAAATGTCAGCAGCCACACTTCTAAATTCCGTATAGCGCATTTTTCGAGAAATTTCGAAAAACTCATTTTTGATTTCGAGTATTCACTAGTTTGGAGATGTTTACAAATATGTCAATGAATTGCCCGGATAATATTTTGGATGGACGTTCTTATAATGAAATATTAGTAACGGTGAACAATGCTCAATTTTAAATTATAAAACATGAAAAAACAGTTATCAGACCATTACCATTTTCAATTTAAAAACCTGTAATAGAAGGTCACCCCACACTGTCCAGTTTTGGCTCAATTATCCCAATTCCTATACAAGATATTGAAATTGTTTTAACTGACAAAACACTTCTGATATTATGAGAAACAATTCATCAGTTAACAAATTTTTGATATCTTTTACAAGAACCGAACGAAATTGGCTCAAAGTTAAAAGCTAGGGAGTCCTTCTATTACAGATTTTACGGTGTCTGTCTTGATATTTCTGACTATGAGATATTTCGTTCGGAATAAGGAGACTTAAGAGAAGTTTGAATGTATTACACGCTTGCTCGATTTGTCAGGGATTTTATCTTCCACAGTCACTTGTTGCTCAACTTTTTGATGACATATCTCCGATCTCCAGCTTTATTCATCTTCTAGTTTGACCACATACAAGCTTTCCACACACAAAAATCTACAGTTCTATTTCTCCATATCATCTGTTTTCTCTCCAGTTCTCGCAAAAAAGTCATAACGCTCATCACCACTACTAATATCTTCGAATCTCGGCGGCATCGGCGAATCCCGAAAAGAGAAAACGAACTGCAAAAAAAGTGTCCTAGTTCAGGTTGTGTGTTGCATTTCACCCATTATCTTCAGAGAGGAAAATACCGCGCAGGAATTCATATTTACGGCAAAACTAAAGAATACCCGTTCTGTTTGGATTTGTGTGAAAGCCATGAAGAAAACAAGAAGGGAAAGTGATATGAAACGAAAACAGGAACCCGGAAAGAGGTACGGTACTTTTACCATAGTTGCCAAATCACGGGCCGGCCAGACTTCTGTGCAGACGCTGATTTTTTTGAATTTCTTTCGAAATTTTTGAAATTTTTTCAAAAATTTGAGCAAAAACTACCTATTTTTGATTACGTGCCACTCTGTTAATTTTGTTCAAAAATGTTAAATGTTTTCTTATTTAATTTAAAAAAATGACCCAATTTTTCATTGAAAATTTTTCCACTGTGAGAGGCGGGCCGAGAAAATTCCTCTTCCAGCCCGGCCCGGCCCGTTGCAACTATGACTTTTACTGCCTTGCATTCTAAAGAAGTGTCATTTTTCGTTTTTGGAAACATGAAAACCTCGGTTTAGAATTTTCTTGTCCATAGTATTTCTTCTGTACTGGAATACTGAGCGGAGTTCCTATCTCTGGAAACACTCAATTTTTTATTTGAATTCTTTTCTGATCGTATAGTCGTATGAATTTGCGTCTGATAAGAAATACATATACATATAGTGTTGATTCTAAACGTCTCCAAAGTCAGAAGGCAGAGAATGTTACTGCTCCAAATGCATTCTGAGAATAGAAAACGTACGATATACGACTGGAAACATTGTTGATGTACTCTGCTACGTAGCGACTCGTACGACTTCAATCAACACGCAGATGTGAAATTTCGGCGTACTTTAGTCCTTTGGTTTTCAAAACTGAAATCACTGTAGAACACCATAAGTGGTCCCCATCCATTTATGTCCATCTCTTTTCACATTCATTTATTTCCGATCCCCTTTCAATGTTTTTTTTTTCATTTTCTCCTCTCCAATACAACACAAACACACACATGTTCTTCTTTCTCCACCCATTGCTCTTTTCCAGAGTGTGGTCCCAGTTTCTGTGTCTCTTCATTTTACACACTCTCTAATCGCAGAAAACACTTTTTGAAACAACGAATGCAACTGGTTATTCCTTCTGAAGTGAGAAAAGAGAAGAAGAGGAGAAGCGCACTTTTTATAGGCGGAGAAGAGGGGTTCCAAATATACGCGGAGGTTTTTTTATTTGAAACGAAAGAAATGTTAGAGGAAGAAAAGAGAGATCAGAGAAATGTCGACTGAGGAAGGATGTCACTTTACAAAGTGCACACACGCAACAAAACTTTTTTCTGTTCTCTTCTGGATGAAGCGGGTGAAGAAAATTGGCAACTCGGCGGCTGCTTCAGAAAAATGAAAAAAGTTATAAAACGATCCCGAAGTAATGGGGTATCTGGGGTCCAATCACTTAAAACTGCGAGGAGAAGGAACTCTTTGCTACGATGAAAAAAAGTAGAAGGAAAATTGAGACGGCTTTACGCTAGGCGGTTTGACTGGTCGTGGAACGTTTGAATCCATGTTTGTATGGAAAAATTACAGAAAAATAATGTTTCATAAAACAAGGAAACTATACAAAAATTCCCTTAAAAATGCAACAATACTCTTACTGACCCCTGACATATTTTCATAACAAAATTTTTCAATTTCAGATTCTACTCTTATCAACGGAAAACGCACACAGTTTGTAATTATATTATTGTTGTCTGAAAAAATGATGGTTAGAGAGTAGTTTATGTGAGCTGTATACGGTATGTATCTAGAAGCGGCGACACGAAATAACACGCATGTGATGGAGACGCAGACATATTGCTTGAATATTTGCCTGCGTCTCAATCTTCATTTTTTTCGGAAAACGATAATACCATGCGTTCTGTAGTGGGATAAGGAACGAAGTTGCACGACAAGAATTTTTTCATAGAAGTTTGTGGATTTTACGATTAATCGTATCGGAATGAATGGAAATATAGCGATTGGAGCTAGCTCTTCAGGTTCAATTTTCGACCATAATCATTTGAACAAAATTTTCATTGTAAGAACTGTATGCTGCTGCGCTGAAACTTCTTTGGAATAAAGAGTACTGTATTTTAATGTGAAATCTAAAAAAAACAATGGAACTTTTGTTTCTGATGGTTTCAGATTGAGGCGAAAAACGGGACTTCAGGTCTCAAAAGAATAACATTTTTCTCAACCAACAGATATCCCTCAATATTGCTCCAATTTTCAACATTCGAACTTTGTGCTATTCCCAATCTTTTGACACTTGGCTCCTGGATCCTGCTATCTCTTCATGACACCCGACGGACTATGTTGCCTATCATCAATTTTTTTTTCAAGTTGTGTAGATTAAATTACTTTTCCACACTTTTTTCTCCCTTTCCCAGACCTTCTGCCTCCTTTTCTAGTGTGACTTTTTTGAATGCTTTCGGAGCAAGAGAGTGTATGGAACAGCAAAAAAAAGTTGAGTAAATGGGATTGGCCATAAGACACCGAGACAGAGATGCACACGATGAAAAAGGGCCTCAAGTGAAAAGATGGGGACATGAAAAGTTATTATCTACATTGCTGGAACCAGTAACAAAGATCATACATTTTTTGGTTATGTTAAGTATGAGGGTTAATTTCTATCTACTTCTCAAGATTTCAAACTCCTTAATTTTAAAGACACCTCCCGTTCTCATATCTATAAGTTTTTCAGGACTCCCGTAAAACCACCTTGCTTTACACTTTGTCCAGATGAAATTTGACACGACTTTTTTTTCAAACTTGTTATGCCTTTCTAGTAGATTTTAAAACCTCCAAACTTTAAAGACTGATGATTTCAACCCATTCACTAGATTAGTCACATTATTGAAATATCCAGAGAATTGTTATCAGCCCCACTGTGAGGACCCATTTCTTTTAACATTTTTTTTGGCAGTTCAAGAAATCACCCCTCTCAAAATTCCACCCATTTCCGTTCCTAAAACCAACGAGAGTAAACAGTGTTCCTCTTCTTTTCCCTACCTCACATAAAACGCTCTCGAATATATATGTTGCGAAAAACGTCTGGTGAGAACTTCTGCGTCTCTCATCCTGCTATTATCAATCTCCAGTTTACTGGCATATTTAATTTGGCGCCGATCGCGCGCGCCTCGAAAGCGCACTTCTCTCCCAACAAAAGAGACGCGAGGAACACACACATCGTGAAGCACGGAGGCCTGTGGAGACAGTGTAATCTGTGGAGATTCAGATACAAAAATGAGGATAAAAAACTGACAAAAAAAAACGAAACTTGCACTTTTGCGCTTCGCTGCCTAGAATGGTGTCACGGAGATGGAGGAATTGAGAAGAGGGTGGACAATAGAATAGGCATAAAATGAAAGTGTTATTAGAAAAAAGAAAATACGAAATTGAACCTGAAGACAGGTGGAGAGACTGAAGTAGCACGAGCAGTCTTCAACGATGTGAAATCTGAAAATTCGAGATCGACCTGAATGTAGGAAACAACTTACTATGTGTGTTCTAATATTGGAATATCTGATCATCTAACTTTCCAGTATGATTAGATCACCCTATGCCTACCGATACCCATGGTTCTTATTAAGTTATAGTCACTGTTAAGAAAGGTTATCGTTTGCATTCCTACTAATTAACCACACTCTTTTCTAATTGTGAAATTCAATTATCTTCAGCTCCCTAACCTTTCTTCACTCTGTCATTTCTCTTTCCATTGTTCGCTCAGTCTTTTTTTTTCAACTCCGCCTCCGTTTTTTCGAACCTCTTCTTCGTCTTCTTCCCTATCTCATTGTTGCGAAAAGCTATTCATTTTGTGTGGCGCAGCCAACAGCCAACCAAGCACTTTTTTGCAACACTCTGAATATCCGACCAGGGAATGCGCAGAAATAGCACATTAAATCAAGAAACCCAGAAAATACAAGGGACAAAAAAAGAACACAACAGCCGTTTTTTTTTTGGGCCGCCCCAATTTTCTAATGGGTGGCCTCTGAGGAAGAAGAAGAGGGGGGAAGAGGAGGTCGGGAGAAGATAAAAGAGGGCTTTTTTGAATTCGGCGTGGCCACACCAGATTCGATTTATGACCGATTTTTTAAAGATTCATTAGAAGAATTCTCGGGAGAGAAATTAAAATTTAGATCAAACAGAAATTCAGCAGAGATCTGGTGTAAAACCCGATTTCAACTTATAATTTGAATACCAGCGAACTCTTAGTCGTAAAAGAGTTCTAGATTCAATAATTCAACTACCGCAAAAAATGCGCCATACAGTTGAAACAATAAGTATAATAACTTAATTTAACGTTATTAAAACGTTATTCCTTTCTGAACCTCCTCTTTTGCACGCACCGTACTGCTTGATTTTTTGGAAGATTCCCACCCCTGTTCAGACTTGAGCCAATGACCAAAATGTAAAACGATAGCCAATGATGAAACCGTGAGCACTTCTTACGATCGCAAGACACAAATAGGCTCCACTTACGCAACAAAACCATCATCGTCTGCCACGATTTCTTTTCCAATTTCCTACTCTCAAACCCACCACCATCGCCGCTAAAACCGAAAGAGGGAGCGAGAGAGAGACCTCCACTATTTAAAAGATGTGCGGTCTGATCGGTGTCTAGGTTTCTCAAAAATCCATTATATATCCCACTTGGAAGATAAACACTGCGGAATGTTCGTTCGATACTCCAGCTTTTTTTTTCCTTTTTTTTCATTCTCCATCGCCGGTGCGCAGAATATTTCGCGACAGTCTAGACTTCGGGTGAAAGTGTGATCACTCGATAGTACAGAGAATGTCCAAAGTGTGTGCATAAGCTCTATCGCAACATTTTCAGGATCGCCAACAACTCTACACATATTCTCAAATAGGCGAGTCAGAAACATCAGTGCTGTGTGCTCGGAGGTACCTACACGGCTAGTAGATTCGAAACCAAGTTTTCTCTCTCTACACTTTTTATGTCACATTTTAAAACTTTTTCTCGAAATAAATGTGCACAAACTATCAATTTATAAAACTTTGTGAATCAGAATATGGTGAATTACAAAAATCGGAAAGAGTGGGAAAGGGAATCACTGCAATTAATTAGCGAAAAGAGGGGGAGATCGTGGAATAATAAACTTTTAAAGTTTTGCTATTTCGGACACCCTGCTTTCTGGACCACCAGGGTTTTTTGGCCTCCGGTGTTTCTAAGACCACCTGGATTAAACAGACCTCCACTATATTTGGACCACCACTATTATTGTTACCTACCAGTTAACTTTTTTCCAAACGTCCTCAGGACATGTGAGAAATGTTTCTAGGGATATCCAAGGCGCTCAAGAAATGGATAGATGCATCAAGTGGAATTATTCATGTTCGGACACATTTTTTCGCCTTTGAGAAAACTAGGCTTTTGCTCAGCCGAGTAGACGAACTTCTGAAGGCTGTAGATGGGAAGAATGAGAGCAAATCCAGCTACAGAAATATTAGAATCATAAGAGAGCATGTAAACCTAAAACTTCGATAGACGTATGACTGACTTTTAAACTGACGATCAGCTAACTAAAGTAGAATTTAAAATGTCTGGTCGAAAAAAAAATTATGAACAAAATAGAATTCTCAATCTTGAAGTCAGTAATACACACAAACTCACATTTTTCAGGTGGAATGAGAATGCATTTCAAAAAATAGTGCAGCAAACTAAGAGCGTGCCCAGAAAATTTTTAGAGTAAAAAAAAGTCGCGAGAGCGAAAACTGATAGCAGGCACTGCAGCTGCTATTATTTCTGTGTGCCTCTTATTGATTCCATGCTCTTCCGTTTTCTTCTTGTGAGGTCTCGCGCTCCCCAACCCCAGGACTCGCGGGTGGCATCAGTCGCCCTTGCGACTAATCGGGGGCGGAGCTTCATCGCCGCGACGCCCGTGCCGGGGGGACCCGCCCCGTTCTTTGACGGCGACGCTTGGCGAGGGGATCGACCCCCCTATTACTCCCACCGAAGAGAACGACCCCGGTTTCTCTATTCTTTTTGGATATTCGAATGCAACTGGAATAGTTTTCAAGAAGAGCTCGATTACGAGTTCATTTATCTATCTGGAGTTAATTGTACCTTTTGGGTATGTTCTTAATTATGATAAAATGTCTGTCCAAAAAATTTCGAACTTCTTAGATTTTATTCTAGCCTGAGTCATGCGTTTGGTTTCAATTATTAGTTTCCAGTAGCCATAGATTTTCAGTAAATTCTTGAAAAACGTTCTACTTTATAAATCACTAGCTGTCTTGTCTTGAGAATATATAAATTAATTGCATCTTGCTGGTTTATCTTTTAAGATTCAGCTTTGAAAGTTCAAGTGAAATAACTTTTTTGGCCGATGAGGCAGTACGATTTCTAGACCCAAATTTTTTCGATATACATTTTTATTTAAACCAATCTATTAATACCGTACCAATCAAAGTTTTCCTGTAACTCTCTGTTAGCTGATATTGTTCTGCATTGCCCTGAAAAACCAAATTACAGTAATCTTGAAATCTAAAATTTGACCTATTCAACTAATTCGGTTATCAAAATTAGCGTTCACATAACATTTTGGAAGCTTCCTGAGATATTTTTTCGAGTTTTATGTTTTAGTTTTAGTTCATGTTTCAGTTTTAGTTCTGTTTCTGTTTTAGTTCATGCTAGCTCAGTTTTGAAAATTTCAAAAAAAAACCCCTAATTGTAAAATAAACGAAGCGTTTCTAGAGGAGCTCTGATGCTCACCGAGGATTCCGTACCGGAGATATGCGACGCGAGATCAGCAGTTGCAGGACTTGCCGAGCAGGAGAAGAATTATTACTGTCAACGATGTCTAAATCATGGAGAGCTGAAACCAAGGAAAGGACACAAGCCGGATTGTAGGTAAGTTGCTCCTCTATGTAGTATGCTCCCGATCTCATTGGTCTTGATTTGCCAACACAAACATGCAGTTTGTTGTTAACCTTGAAAATATTTTTCGAAAATGTTGCGATTGACAAATTATCATTGTAATCATTAAGACTTGGCCATCAATGTCTATTCTTTATCACTTCAACGTTTTTGTAGGCAGTTGTTTATCCTCCTGTAACCTTGGATTTCTAATTTTGTGACGCATTCTTCTCAAACATGAAAGATAATTCAGGCCTAAATGAAGTTTCAGAACAGAAAATTCAAGGTACAGTAATCCTCTCTTCTTAAATCTTCAAAAGGTCATTCTAGATATAAAACCATTCTAACCCATTCTTCTCTCTCTCTCTTTCTCTCGGGTTTTCTACCATATAATAATTTGACCTCCTCCATCCATATAATAACAATTTGGAAATAAGAATACCTCTTTTATTCTCCCTTCTACCGGGTGGTCGTTTTCTTGCTTTTTTCTAAAATCGACAAGGTCAACTGTGTTTTTTTTGGCTTCGAACGCTTTAATCGATGGAGAACATGAGACAGATTTTACGGTGTCTTTGTATAGGGTTTTATATTCGAATTTTAAATTCTGGGAGAAAGGTCGGGTACTGTAACATAGAAGAACAATTGAAGAAGAACGTAAATGATAAACTTTACAATAAAAGAGAACTAAGCTCTCTCAGTTTTCCTGTTTTATGTTTATTCTTCAAATATACAAAATATTCTTCAATAATACAAAACTATCATATCTTCTCCATTAAAAATGCCATGTCATAAAACCTCCCACCTCTTCTTTCCATGAATACAAAACTTCTCATACAACAAATTTAGTTCTTTTGGGGAATGTGTGGGCGGAACCATATATACTGTACAATTGGTACCGAATGGTACTGAACAGTAAACAAGTTCATTTTTTGGCAGGTACCTCCAATGTCCATGTCCAGAATGCAAGATGGTTGAACAGCGGAGACAGTTAAACAATCTTCTGAGTAAGAAAAAGGTTAGTATGTTTTTTTTGGATTTGTAGAAATCTACACTATTCTTTAATCATTTCCTGATCTCTTTCTCTTTTCACGCTTATTAAAAACCATTTCATCACTGAGCTTATCACCCGATTACGTGACGTTTTTCACAACGTCTTTTGCGAAAACTGTTTCCATACGATTCGCGCGGGAGGACAAGTTCAGATGCACTTCTGATGATCGGTCCCAATGCCCGTCTATACAGTAGTCACCCCAGTTCATACATTTTTGCGTTCTTCATTTATCAGTCTGTCAAATCGCAACTTCATCTCCTTCTTCCGTCTACTCTCTTCGTCATGATTTGACCTTCTCAGTTAGACAACGTTTCTCACTAATAAGCAGAAAAAAAAAAGAAATACGGGTGGTCGGAGTATTTTTCTGTGATTGAGTAAAAAATGTGGAGAAGAAGATGAAGGTGATGATGTTATCTCTCATCGAATTGAAACAGAGGTCATCAGTAGGGGTGAGAAAGAAGAGACAGTGTTGCAAAAATGATAAAATGTTCTAATCCCAATTTCTCGAAAGATTTAGTTTTGTGAAGGGACACCGAGGGAAGATATGGTTATCAGAGGTAAATGGTAACTTGATTACCGTAAACACTCTAATAGCAGGCCAATCAAGCTGTCAACTTTGAGATCATATATCTCGGTTCCTGTGGAAGATATCGAAAAATGGTACACTGACAAAAAATTTTCAATTTTATGATAAACATATTGTCAGTTGCCAACTTTCCTATATCTCTTGAAAAAACCGAGATATATGGGCTCAAAGTTTAAAAATTTGAATGCATGTACCCTGTTGCAACCCTGTGTGTGGGAGTTAGGTGGTTTTATGAGAAAGTTTACGGTATCTCGAATCCGTTGCAATCAATTTTTGAGGGGTAGTCATTAGGAACTAAGTACAGTATCGGTTAATAAGATATACAAAAACTTGATTTTCAGTTAATTTCAGCCATTTTCAGAAGTCTGGAGCTCGGTTGTCTAGTGTCCGATCACTTTGAAAATTTCGGAGATTAAAAAATATGCCTAGATTGAAAACTTTGCATTCACAGAATTTTTGGAAATTCCTTACATTTTCGATTCCTTGAAGACACTCCTTTTTGGGCCGATTTTGTGCTGAAACGGGAAAAAAGCAGGTGTTCTTCAGAAATATGCAAAAAAAAAGAGTTTAAAAAAATTCTGTAATGGCAGAGTTTTCAAGGGGGTGTAGGTTTGTTTCATAACCTTCAAGATTTTCAAAGTGGTCGGGCATTCGATAGGTGAGCTCCGGACTCTAGAAAATGGCCAGAAATCAACTGAAAATCACGTTTTTAAAATATGTCTTATAGGCCGGTGCTGTTAATAATATGTAATAAAATGAAACTGGTATTTTTAGGTCCAATGCACTCCCAACACTCAAACTCTAAATGGCAAACGTGTCCGAGATCCCCATTGTGCTAGATGCTCCGCTCACGGAGTTCTCGTCCCACTTCGCGGACACAAACGGACCATGTGTCAGTTTGTCACATGTACTTGCACACTGGTAAGTTTATTCCATTTTCTCTTAATTTATTATTTTAATGTTTATAATTATCCTGTCAGATATCTAAATCTCGGTTGCCCTTGAAACGTTGTATTTCCCTTCCCTATTTACTGTTTTTATGCTTTTTCAATGTCCTCGCCTTCGTACGAAAATTATATGCAATAGAGAGTACTGTATTTGAGAAATAGGAGGTTGGAAGAACCAATCGATGCGCTAAAATTACTAGAATTAGAAGTTATGATATTGGAATTTCAGTGTGCCCTCGTGGAAAACCGGCGCATGTTGATGGCTGCACAGATCAAGTTAAGAAGATCCCAACAGAAATCTCGAGATGGAAAAGAGCCTAAAACAAAGAAAGGAAGAAAACCCAGAGGAACAACACCAATTAATATGGAAAATATGAATAGAATAATGATGGTAGTAACAACGGAGGACCAGAAAAGAACAGGTCTGTTCATTTTGGCATTTTCGGAGTCAACTTTCAGGGAGGTCTATTTAAAACATATATGTGTGGTACACTAATATGGGAGGTCTGAAAACCTGGGAGGTAAATTAACATGGGAGGTCTAAGAAACTAGGAGGCGTGAAACATGGGTGGTCGGAAAACCAGGGAGGTCGATAAGCTGGGTGGCTCAAAAAATCGAATTTTCAAATATATGTTTTTTAAAGGTTTTTAACATCTCAATTCCTATGGGAAATGTGAGAAACTAGCCAATCTGGCGAATTCGTAAAATATTGAAATCAATTATTAATATTTCAGGAACATCTACTAGTCCATCTCCATCATTCACCATTGACACCATGTCTCCATCTCTATCGATTTCTCCACCTCCGTCACCTCCAACTTTATCTTCTCCCGTCTTCACCCCAAACCCTCCAATTCTGGCTGCTCCAATTCCAGTATATCCCCAAATGACACCAAACATCCATCAGCTTCTACAGAACCAATTGTTGCTCACCTACATCCAAACACTACTACCGACAGTTCCTTTGGAACCTGTGCAGTCCCAAGTCACGCCCCTTTTGACTCCTCCTAATTTCGTAATTACCGAACAACTGGGAGCATTATGCAATATGTATATGAAAGATTCTCTCAAAATATGATTGTAATCCAATTCTAGACATCAAATTGTATTTTCTTTTCTATCTTGTTTCTTTCATGTTTTTATTTCTTCTCTCTTCACTCAATCTTTTTTATTTTCGGTTTCCAAAACTAGGGTGTCCATTTGGGGGGCGATTCACCCGCCCGCACCCACCCGGGGGGCTCACCCCCCGCGCCCCCCCCCCGTTGACCCCCCGCGAATATTTACGTGAGGAAAATATTATCTTTTTTGTAGTTTTTTGATTTGAGAAACTCAGTTTTTCTTGGAACATACGTGATTATCTTTTAAAATTTTATTAAAATTCACACGCATTTAAATGCGGGGGGCCGCGGGTGGGAGCCCCCCCCCCCCCGGGTGGGTAGCGGGTAGCCCGCTTCTTCACCCGCCCAAATGGAAACCCTATCCAAAACTCATCAGTTCTTTTTTTTGCTTCACCAAGTGAGCCCGGTCTTCAAGACCATCCATTTTCCAATTGTTTCCCCAAAAACAGTCTGCTTCTCTTACCCGACACTACAAATATCTCTCTTTTTCACCTAATCATGTCATTAAAATTCTTCGAAAAATTCCCTTTAATTGAGCTGAGCTCCGCCCCCTTCGCCCCAGGATTTTTATATTTTCTCGTCTGTTCCTGTTTTTAAATTCTCTTTTTAAGGATCTAATCCTGTCTTTTTTCGTCATCATCGTTCCCCCTCCCAAAAAATTAGAACCGGTCACTTCTCAATTACAGACACCCCCTTTTAGCACCCGGTGCTTTCTCCTTCTCCTAATAATTTTTTTCTGAAAAAAACTTGTTGAAAACAAGAAATACCAATGCATCGAGTCTAATAATTGTTAATCAAATTTCGACTGATTTCTTTTGATAAAATTTATATTGTACTCATTTTGATTATCTTTCAGATTCTGAATAAAAAAATACTTTTGAAAATGAATCTTACGAAATCGTGTGCGATTTTTGTCAATAAGAAAGATTCAAAGGAGTTTTCAGTGTTTTTTACTGGCAGTTCCGTCCTTTTGAACTGCCATCGTTTGTCGTGTGTCATCCGGCATAATCGAAAAAAAGAATAACGACCTACAGCGGTGTATACCACAACGACTGACTGACCGATGAGAAGGCAGATGGGGAAAATTTGAAGGGGTTCCAACCCACAATGCAATGATGGGTTATAGGAGTATAAAACAACGAAGAGATAATTCAATAAGATTTCATTCCAATTCGAATCGACTATTATACAACAACTACTTAGAGACAGTATATTCTTTCCGTTCCATGTTTTTTCGAAATTCAAAGTTCTTGGCGCCACTTTTCTATCTAGACACTTCCGTTTTGTTGCCATTTTACGAGTTACACTTCCTGCGTCACCGAAAACTTACTCCCAATCATTATGTCAAAAATGGAAACAGAAAAGTGCACCTGACTATAAAAACTTTCCACTTGAATCGCAACATTTCCCAAAAATGTCAAATATACGATTTTTCGCCAATCCACATCGGCTGATAAGCGGAACGCTGTTAACTTTTTCTCGATCACTGAAGAGAATTCAGAAATAGAGAGGAGCGAGAAGAACAGAGATGGTGTCGACTGGTACCAGATTGACAGGTGTGAAGCATGAGCACAGGAGACACTTCGAAGAAGGACGATGATGAAATCACAAGGTGTCTAGACTCAATGGAGAAAGTGTAGGGGGCTGACATAGGCTTGTCTGTTTGGAATATGTTTAGTTGTAGAAAAAGTAAATGTTCATATTTTCAATATCTCCTCAAACTTCGTTTTCC